CTCGGATTATCGATTTTCCAACATCGGGTGTTCTTAAAATTTCAATTGAATTCGGGTATAATACGGCTAATAGGTGGAAAATGAATTTCGTCTCGATGCCTCTCGCTAGATTACGGGGAATTAAATCGGCGATAGTTGTTGGAATATTTTGTTTATAGCGATAGAAAAGCGGATGATAAGTCGAAGTAACGAACTTGACGAAACGTCGATGATATCCGGAAGTCTTTCGCCGCTCCTTCTCCATCGATCTTGCTCGTCGTTCTTATCGAGGATATAAAGTAGGTCTTCGTTTTTCGTTCATCGACCATCGAATCAAATTAATTTTCCCATCAATGTCGATGCTCTTGGAAGAAAAAAAGGAAAATGATTCGATAATATAATATCGTCGCATAAAATAAGGGAGTGTCAACCATCGCGAGAGTGGTCGAATATGATGTGTTTGGTTGGTACCTCGTCGATTGGAAAGCGTTGAAAATTAGGATAGAGGTTTAAAGGTTCGCGTGCCGATGTAGGATGCAGAAGAACGGTCAAGTGGAACGGGAAACGTTCGTATGTAGATATCTGCAGGGCTGCATGCCAGCCTATGACAAGCTAAAACCGAGTGTGTATCACCAGCTATCAGGGTTATAGATGGCCCATGGGCACGCTAACCCAGTGACATCTCTAGGTCAGCAGCGATTCTCGAACCACCCCTTCGTTTCTCTTGCCTGCCTACCCTGTCCTGCCCTTCCCATCCCTTGCCTTTGTGCCGGCCAACCCTCGTTGTCTCTCGTCTTGTTCGTCGCTGTTGTTTCAATCGTACGTGCTTTTATTCCACATTTTATTAGACTTTGTAATCGAACTGGAGCTAAGGAAAAAATAAAACGTTCGTGGATCGATAGTTTATCGTTGATAAATGGAGATTGGTCGGTTTACTCGTAGCGTAAATGGGAAAGATAAGGAAGATAAGGTGGCGATTGTTGATAAGTACATTGGTTTATTAATTGAATCGATAAATGGAAAAGTAAACAATTGGAAGTAGTTTAGATATGAAATTAGATGGGTAATCGTTGAAGAGGGCTCGGCTCGTAAAGGTGGGCGGAAAGGGAATCGAGGCTACAAACACACGATGCTAGTTGGTGCAGAAAGTTTCTGGCACGCGTTCGCAGGGAAATCTCCTGATGGTATAGGGGGGCGCAACAACCCTGGCCTGATATTATTAGCCCTCGAAACAGCGATCGAATCTTCTCTCGAGAATTTTGCATATCGTTAGAACGTCGTTAATTTTGATCGAGTGTAGCTTTAGTTTCTAAATTCGGACAAGTTAATAAATTTTTTCGAAGAAACTAACAGCGTTCGCAGGGAAATCTCCTGATGGTATAGGGGGGCGCAACAACCCTGGCCTGATATTATTAGCCCTCGAAACAACGATCGAATTTACTCTCGAGAATTTTGCATATCGTTAGAACGTCGTTAATTCTGATCGAGTGTAGCTTTAGTTTCTAAATTCGGACAAGTTAATAACTTTTTTCGAATAAACTAACAGCGTTCCGTGCCTTTACGAATCTAATTGTAAGTCTCGCGAGTCGATAGTCCGCTCTCGAGATTTCAACGAATCGTGCCGCGAGTCGCGGTGGAATTTTTCCAGCAAGACAGACAGCGGCGAATTAATTAAAGGGGATTCGCGACGAGAAGAACTCGTCTTAGGAGTTTCGCGTTTCGGAATTCGCGTTCTACCGTCGGGCAAAAGTTTTCCCAGCTGCGAATATCGAAGTTGCCCGAACTCGAATAATCGTATCGCGTAGCTCGTCGTGCCGCATTGTTGAATTTCGAGTACTCGTTACCACGACACGCGATAGCTCGTCTAATTACCCAGCCTGTTCGATAATTGCGACGAAATTACGCGCGTGAGATTACGAAACACGAGTCGTCGCGTTGAATTTCACATGATATCCGCTGACAATTTATTTTCCCGAGAATCCTAGTATTACGGAGCCAGGTTTCTAAATATTCCTGGTCAATTAGGCAACAAAGTTCGCTCGCTCGAACAATCCAGATAAAAGTAAATTCGACTTTGAATTTCTAGCGAAATAAATCGTCGAGTCGATTCGTTTTCGTGCTTCCGAACCGATTCGACGAGACGCATCGAAAAACGCTTTGCCCGGCAGACTGTGCCACGGGAAAATTTATTCGCGTCGATAGGCATGTGCGTCGAACGTCGAACGACCAACGAGAAAGTCTCGTTTAAACGTTTCTTTTCGACGACATACGGGCCAAACGATAACTGCAGCTCTTGCCAGAGGGAACAATGATTCCCATTACGGGTCGCAGTTTTATTTAAAAATTGCTGCGAGCTATTGTTTTCCACGGACAATCAGTGGACCGCGAATTTTTCGTCGCGTTTTCTTTCTTTCTTTCTTTCTTTCTTTCTTTTTCCAGTTTGATCGCCGACGACACGGAATCGCGAGGCTATTCGCGTTTAAAGGCTTCTTACGCGCATTGTTCGTACGATGAAAAGCTTCCCCTTGGTGAAACTATTGGACGAAGATCGCGGACGGGACTGTCAGAACCTTTTCTCGATCTTTTCGAGAACACCGGCAAGCTTTGTTCCGCTAGAAGCTTCGCTGCTCGGCTATCCGCTTATAGATCCGTGTTACGTTTAAGGAACGAGACGTAAGAAGTCGAGATTCGCTCTATTGTTTCGGAAGCTCTAGATTTCTCCTTTCCCTTGTGTTAAAATTAAGCAATTTTTTTAGAACAAATAATTCGAACAAATTTAACATAGCTTACTTTAATTGACGATCAATTAAACTCCAAATCAAGCGATTAATCGAGTTCAATCGAAGGCGTTGTCAAAATAGTAGATAACGTCACGATACGGTAACGAGCAATCGTGGCCGCGTTATTTTCGTCCGTTTTATCGGGACTGAGTAATCGATTAATTGCGATCGGAATTTCGATAAGAAAGGAACACGAGTGTGTTTCTCTTTCCTCGAAGTTGCACCTTGCTGAAGAAAAGAAGAGAAAAAAGTGTATCCGTGAAAGTACACCGATCGTCATCGTCCTGGAAAATGTTCTTCCTTTCCCGTTCGTGTCGTGTCTCCTCCTCTTCTCTTTCGTGTAAAATTCGCGACAATGAAGAAACGGCACGCGAAAAGACAGCTTTTCGCTTCCCCTTTGTTTCGAGTGGATTTCAGCCGGGAAATGGATCTCGCTGCTTGCTTGCCTTTGGGAAATCTTTTCCCGCGTGTTGGTTTTTACACTGGTTTTATTCTTTTCTTTTCTTTTTCTCTTTCGAACAAAAACGTGTTTCAGTGAAGGCGTGTTTAAACCGTCGACCCGCTAAATTTCTGTCCTACTACGTCCTTTTTCTGTCCATTTCTCTCCATTTCGTTTGGTCAAAGATTAACGCGTTGAACGCCACGGTGAAAAGAGCCGTATTGAAACTCTAATTATTAAGAAAACAAACAATTAACTTTCAAATTTCAAATTAACTCTTTCTTTCCTTAATAATGTTTTTCTAATATTTTCTTTTAGTTATTCAGGTATGTGTACTTTGCGGTGTCGATCACCGATGACCCCCATGGCGTTCAACGTGTTTACCATTTTGTTGCACCGTCTCCATTTTTAAATGATCCAACCATTTTCACGTTCTTCAAGAAAAGTGGACGAAAACGTAAAAGAAATTGCGTCATTTTCTATCGACTCGGAAACAGGAAAGAAAAGGGGGAAAAAGAGGTAGGCAAACCATCGTCGAAACTCGAGGCCATTGTTTCCACAGTCGAGGATGTTAATTTTTCCGCTGGGTGGACGAGGATCGAGCAAGGGGTTGGCAGGACAACGATGGAACAAGGACGATCAGAAATTTCTCTGAAGCATTGTGTCCCTTTGGACAAACAAACTCTGCGAGGAGATTGCACAAAGGGGCAAATTGGGTGCGCGAAGTCGATAATTCATTGGTACATTGAATTCTTCTTCTTTCGCTTCGCGTCCTCTTCTTCCTTATTGTCTCGCTGTCGAAAGCGTCTCGCGATCGAAATGAAACGAAGGTAGAGAGGCAGAAGAGGGGAATTAATATTAATACCCGCTCCATAGTTTACTATCGTTCGTTCGTGGTATGCTTTTGGAAGACAGATGAAGTTATAATCAGTCTTTTAATTGGTAGGTAATTATTGTTGGTAGGTTGCGACAACCGTGTTCGATATGTCGAGATTCAGGCTGAAAGAAGCGGGAACGCGGCAACGGGGGTGGAATACATATCTTGACGGTGCGATCCAAATTCATTATCCGCGTTCCCGCGGGGCGAGGCGTCGCGAAATGAATTCCGAAAGTGGGGCGTACGCTTATTAGAAATTCCTGGATTGTTCGGCGAACGTGTGCGCCCAAGTCGGGGTTTATTTGCTTCCTCCAAGTCGACCAGCTTGGAATTCACGGGCAACCTTTGGCCAATGGGTCGGCAGCAGCCAAAATACCGTAGAGAGCCCTCCTCCAGCCATCTAAGAACGAGATATATGCTTTTATTAAAAGCCAGCCAGCTCGAATTCAGCGTTTCCACGCTTTATGAGGTCGCGCGGTACCTACTTCTTCGAATTTATTAGGTCGTCCCGATACTTTGAACAGCCGGGAGGCTACCACTCGGATGCGTACGAAATTTCTCAATTATCTAACCTTCTTCTAACGATGTCGGTAAATTTAAAAAGGTGAAATTAAAAAAGTCGGACAACGGTAGCTACGTACCGGAAGAGCGTGGTTCTTGCGGGATAACGATCGTCTGATCTTTCGACCTATCGAATTTTTCACTCATGATTGCCGTCACTCAATTTTCCACTCGTGCTGTTGCAGCCAAGCGATGATCCGTGAACTGGGAATGTAGACGGAAGGGCGGGAAAGCGGATCTGCCCCTCGCAGAATCGAAGGAAGGGCTTTTCCTCCATCTCCACCGTCGTCTTCAACCTCCACGAGGTTCTTCGAATACCTTCAGCCTCTTCGTCGATTTGGACACCGTAAGTAAGTAAGTACGTTTCAACGATTTCTTCTTTTTCGCTCGAAAATCGCCGACCACGACAGGAGGTACATTAATAATTATATTTCTTCCGTTTTCCACGTTTCCGTGCCGATTCACATTAGCCCGTTGGACCGTACGAGCTGAAATGACGGTATCGCATTTACATTTATTCTGAAATTAACATAAACGCGTAGAAAGGGGGTGAAATAACGGGAGAGAGGAATAAAGAGAGGTCTGGTGGGATTTCTCGTTCTACAGTCTGTCGTCGTGGCACGCGCGTAATTAATTATCGAACGATCCGCTTTGTAGAAGGCGAGGGTGCGCGCCCCGTGATTTATTCACGCGACCGTCAACGTTTCCTGATCGTCGTATTAATTCGAATAATCGTCATGCAAATGCATTGCTCTTCTCTTTCTCTCTATTTACATTTCTCGTGTTTCCTTCTCGTTAACCCTTTCGTTGTACGATATCATCTCCATTAATTACGTCGAGCCAATTCGATCGTTCGGTATTTATTCATCGATGCGGTGTCGAAACGGTATCGAGGCTGAACTGATAGCTCTTGAAACGGTATCGGACAATACTAATACCTTGGTTACGAACAGAAAGTGTCGATACCATCGACAGCGTGATCAAACTTTTCAAGAAGTTTATGAACACGAAACGTTTCTTTTTTTTTATTTGTTCTTTATTAAATTGTTCCTGACTTGTTTTATCAAGTGTATTGAAAGGAAGCGTTTGGATTTCGACTCATTAGTCGATTATTACTGTTATCATTAGAGTAGAGAAGGGAAGAAGAGAAAAGAGAAAATGGAAGAAATAGGAGAAAGAGAAGAGGGAAAGTAATTGAAGTGAAAGTACATTAGTATCTGATTATTTGTTAACTGTTTGGCGTAAGCAGATCCACTGTTTCCTTTTCAGTATTCTAGGTAGACTTGAATAGCAGTTGCTGGCAAGTAGATTTTTATGCATTTTTATTCTTTGCATGTGAACTTTGGAGTATTTCCTTATTTCCTCCTCCACAGTAGCGATTTTTACAAGGAAACTAGCATATCCGGAAACTAGGATGCCGAATGCACGATTTCGACCACTTTCCATAAAGCCCCGTGTTAAAATGGTCAACTTTGGGCGCCATTTTGACTATGGAGTATTTCCCATTAATCGATTTGGATAAAACTTGGTACAAATCATCTTGGCGGCCTATTCTATGGATTCCATGGGGTAAAAATTTGCCGGGACAATGGGGGTCGACTAAGGAGGTGGCCATCTCCTTTAACTACGTTAGTTTGAGATATTTCTGTGTTGTGAATATAGACTTTAGCAGATGGTTTTTTATTAAGAGGAACACGAAACGTGGATCGAGTGATTCGTAAGCATTAGGTAGATTTATTCGCGAACGAATTGTTTTTCATTTTTCCTTTTATTTTGAAAGTGAGCGTAAAGGCTGACGCAAACGCAGCTATACTTTTTCACCGGTAATCTGGCAGCAGCAGCAGCAGCAGCAGCAGCACTGCGAAACGATGGCGGATAATTTCGGCGTATAAACTTTATATAGCCGGATAAGCCAAGCAGCTGTGGTCGCGCGATAAAGCGGGACGGAATCTCGCATCCGGCAAATTCCAGCGGGACGAGCCGCCGATATATTTTCCCGGTTTAATCGAGCGGCTCGATTCCACGCGGCCCGACAAATTTCAGGGGTTAGATTTTCCGGGACACTCGTGGGAATTGCTCGTTACTCGTTACCCGAACGCACAGTTAATACGAAAGCGTTTATTACACCGATACAGTGTCACGCTATCATCGTTTCCACTCGCATTTGTCGTTTCGTGGTTTCGTTGGCTTTCCCTCGAAACGTGTACCAGTAAAATCAGTCTATAAACCAGCTCGAAAACTCTTTTCCATTCGCTTGGTTATCATTTCTGCTTTTAGTTTTTCCCTCCTCGCCACCATGTATAACAAATATCCACAACAATTTCGCTTTATTCGAAAGATACTCCGGCTGTTCTACTTTGATCCAACCTGTCGGGGGAAGGTTCGATTACCGCTATCCACAGAGTCGAGGGTGCTCGGCGAACTTTCGACGAGTGTATCGCAAACCAAACCGAAGACGAGTAGTTGCTCGTGTCGAAAGCCAGTCGAGAGAGCCAGGAATCGGAAGAAACGTGGAGTAGAAGCGGTTTCAGGGCGTAAATAAACGAGAAGTAGACAGCTGTATCGATCGATCGCGATAGAACACGGGGTCCTCCTTGGACCCGTAGAGTGGTCGACCCCTCCGCGGACAATTCGAACAGAGACTACTCGAAGAGAAGCTCTGTATCTTCTTCTGTTTTTATTTCTGCCGAGGTACACTGGATGAAAATATGGAATTTTCACGATCAGTCGTCGTTGCAAATAAGCTAGGAGTAATAAATGAAAACGGGCAAAGAAGGAAGAACAGCGTGGCAGAGGCGTAACTATCATAGCCTTAATAGATAGCGGTTTTACGTGGGTCATGGTGCGTTGCACGATGCTGCCATCGCGACAAGGGGGATAACTATCGGCAACGCTTCCATTCGCAGCCTCTGTCTTCGTGTATGCCTCTCGCGATCGAAAGGCACCTCGCTTATCTAGTTCGAATCATTCTTTCGTTTTCGTTTTCAAATTTCTTGCCCGGAAATGCGGTAGTGAACGTGAAAAGGAAACGTGTCTTATCGCGCGTCGCGCGGTCGTGAAGGGAATATTTCGGAAGCAGAGGAACGCGGTGATTCTTGAGAGCTTCGCATCGTTTCATTTTCTCGAAACTTTTGGTGAGTAAAGGAAGAAAAATCGGGGATAGGAACGTTCGTCGTGGACGATCTCGCGATAAAATCTGTACCCTGGATTCTGGAAACGAAATTTTCGCGTCTTGAAACGAAATTTTGTCGAGTCGAAAGAGAAGAGCCGGTTTGTCCCCATGGCGTTAATGGAGGGACAAGCAAAGCAGGCAGGCGGTCGATGATAAATTGTCACTGCCGATGACAGCTAATGCGCTATTTTCTCTCACGAACGCTTCCGCGTGTAACACCTCCACGTTGCGTGTAATCACGCGTGACCACACGGACGGAACACGTAGAAGGAAATGACCAATCAACCCGGACCTTCGTTCACAACTGTACCGTGTATTTCCTTCTGCTGGTGTAGCTGCGAATCGAGCTGCCTCTCCACGCGGAAATATTTTTTATTCTCTTTCTTCGTTTCATAGAAACGGCCGTCAAAGTATTTGCAAACAGAAATAAAAGCCCTTTCCCTCTGAAAATACCGAAATCGTCGGCGAATCCTGTTATCAGCCTTGTTCGCGTGAAAATTCCCGAGGGCGAGAGGAATTTTTGAAACGAGAAGGAGGAAAAAAGTTTGACTCGGATCGATTGAACGAAAAATAATAGAGAGGAGAAAGGTGGGCTTAATTATCGAGCAAATGGTGCAAGCTCGACGAGTGAAAGCGATAGGGAAACGCGCTGTTGGAGGGTAGACGTTGTTCGAACAAAGACCGACACCATTTCCAATTAATCGATCGCGATACCGAATCCTGTCCTCGCCGAGAGTCTCGCCTCAAGAAAGTAACAATCGTTTCCGACCGATCTGTTCCGCACAAAACAGCCGAACAAGCTCCGCGTTCGTTTCTCGCGAGAAACGATTCTACTCTACTTACGCTCTTCTTGCCGTCTTTTCACCAATTTTCTTCTTTTTCATTTCCTCGAACGATAAGAACGATCGTCGAGCAACCTAACGAAGTTTATCAAATAGGTAGGAAATGAAAAAGAAAGAAGTTACAGAGATAGACGGTGTTTTCAGGCGTGGAACAGGATGCCAAGGAAACGATGTTCATTGACGAAGCTCGAGGCTCTGATGGTGCTTAGTTTAACGGTGCTGGTGCAGCTGGACGTCTGCTGGTGCTCGCTGACCCACAGGAGCAGACATCACGCGGACATGTCGCACGAGGACGGGAAGAGCTTCAGAACTAGCGAGGAGCTGCCTAGACCAGCCGCCCTCAATTCCAACGACGATCCGCTGATAGTTCAGACGAGAAAGGGCAAGGTCAAGGGTAAGACCATGACTGCGACCACGGGAAAGGAGGTCGACGCCTGGCTCGGCATCCCTTACGCGCAGAAACCTCTCGGTAGGTTACCACCTGTGTACGGTCTATCGGCTTCAACCACTCGCTAATTAACCTTTCATCAAAGTCCAGCCACTGCACTACGCGCGCTCTCTACCCTACTATCTATTCTTTCCCACTTTCTTCGGCTACGAAAGAAACGAAAGAAATTGATAGAAAGCATTAATCGTAGACGCGTGACAAGCATCGAGGAACGTTACGAGAAGGGTTTCTGTTGCAGGACCGTTGAGGTTCCGGCATCCGAGACCAGCGGAACGTTGGCCGGGAATTCTGAACGCCACCACGCTCCCGAATAGTTGCGTGCAGATACTGGACACGGTGTTCGGCGACTTTCCAGGTGCGACGATGTGGAATCCGAACACGCCGCTCAGCGAGGATTGCCTTTACGTGAACGTGGTCGCGCCACGACCTAGGCCTACCAATGCCGCTGTTATGGTATGGATATTCGGTGGTGAGTTCCAGCTGACACCTGTTCCGTCCTCGCGTTACACACAGACAAAGAGAGAGAGAGAGTAAAGTTGCCTTTACAGGTGGTCGGTTCTTGACGCGAAACGCTTATTTTTGGCCCGCGGCCTTATTTTAAGACAGCTGCCCTTTTCGAACGGTAAGTCGCATACGGCATAAGTCGTCGAAAGACTAACGGGTTAATTTTAACGACCCTCTCTCGCTCTGTCTGTGCTTGTATCGCTCGAAGCTCGAGAAATAGACACACGATTTGAAAAGAAAAAAGAAAAAAAAGAGGAAAGGTGTAATAGCTCTCGGAAAGAAATAATCGAAGGAAAAAATGGAAGATAGCCCCCTTGTAGAAAGGGCTGGCACGACGGGTTATGTAGATATTTGAAGAAGAGAGGCATTTCTTTGGAGACATGGAATCGCGGGACATCGTTGTAGGTGGCTTTTACTCCGGCTCGGCGACCCTCGACGTTTACGATCACAAAACCCTGGTGTCCGAGGAGAAGGTGATCCTGGTCTCGATGCAGTATCGAGTTGCCAGCCTTGGTTTCCTCTACTTCGGAACGTCGGACGTTCCTGGGAACGCCGGTCTGTTCGATCAGATGATGGCCCTACAGTGGGTACGCGACAATATCGCTGCTTTTGGCGGAAATCCTGAGAACGTGACCCTGTTCGGAGAGAGCGCGGGCGCCGTATCCGTTTCTATGCACCTACTTTCGCCTCTGTCAAGGTGCATACCTTTTTCTGCTAGTCACAACCGTTTGTTTGCAATTGCTTGCCGTTGCTTGTCGTTGCTTGTCACGCTTCTCGCTTCACGCTTCTCGCATGACGAGATCGTTCGACCGACGGATTCGTCGGTCGACGGAATCGGTAACGAAATCGTACCACCTTCGAGTAATTTCCACGAACGAACAAATTATCCGGAGAGGCCGCCCGCGTCGTGGCGGCCGTTTCTATGCGTTCCAGGCATCTGTTCAGCCAAGCGATCATGCAGTCCGGTTCGCCGACGGCACCATGGGCCATCATCTCGCGGGAAGAATCGATCATGCGGGGTATTAGATTGGCCGAAGCGGTCGACTGTCCCCACGATCGGGACAATCTCCAGGAGGTGATCGACTGTCTCCTGGTGAAGGATCCGATAGAGCTGGTTACGAACGAGTGGGGCACTCTGGGCATATGCGAGTTTCCTTTCGTGCCCGTCATCGACGGCGCGTTCCTCGACGAGACCCCTCAACGTTCCTTGGCCACTTCTTCCTTCAAGAAAGCAAACATCATGATGGGTTCCAATACCGAGGAAGGTTTCTATTTTATCATTTACTATCTGACCGAACTGTTCCGCATCGACGGCACCGAGGACGTGAAGGTCAGCAGAGAACAATTCGTCAGCGCCGTCTCCGAGCTGAACCCGTACGTCAATCAGATCGGAAGGCACGCGATCATCTACGAGTACACCGACTGGCTACGTCCCGACGACCCTCACGTGAATCGCGACGCATTGGACAAGATAGTCGGCGACTATCAGTTCACCTGCAACGTGAACGAATTCGCCGGACGATACGCCGACACCGGAAATACCGTCTACATGTACTACTATAAGCACAGGTGAGAATTCTCATCGGGATATATTCCGGCTGAAAATTTTCCAAACAAACGAACGATCCTACTGTTTTCCTTTCCGTACGTCCTGAATCGAACAGATCCGCAAACAATCCGTGGCCAAGGTGGACCGGAGTGATGCACGCGGACGAAATCAGTTATATATTCGGAGAACCGTTGGATCCCTCGAAAGGCTACACGAAGGAGGAAGCGAACTTATCGAAAAGGATGATGAGATATTGGGCGAACTTTGCGAAGTCAGGGTAAGGACGGAGGAGAAATTTCGTCTAATATTTTCGTTGTATGAGCGAGAAAAAGGTATCTCGTTAAGGGGTTAGGATACTTTGTAATTTCGAAAAAGTCGATTTTTTTTTTTCCCTTAAATAATAGTTTGAAGCCTTAAGAACATTATGCAAAAGGCCCAGTTTCGAAACAATGTTTTTTGCTGGAAATTCAGAGCACTGGAGCCTACTTTGAACGCGTTTTTCTCGAAAGTATGTTTTTCAAAACGGTGTGCAGGATTGCTCTAGTTCTAATGAATCAATTGCTTTGAAACTTTACAGTTACCTTTGCTATTACATTTACTAGGGATTGACCATCCGTTTTTCTTTTAATTTTCTAACAATTCTGCAAAATATAAGCAACAACTCATTTTTCGTCGAAATTTCATCTTCAAACTTCAAACATCTGCCATATTGTTCATTTTTACACTTAATTATAGTACAAAGTTTCAAGATAATCGATGGTTTACTTTTTCGTTTATCGCCACTTAAACAACGTCTCGTTTTCCGGTGCTGACAAAGTATCCTAACCCCTTAAGAAATAAAAGAAAGATAATGTGCTATGATTACGTTAGGGACCCGAACATCGGCGACGTCGCTTCGTGGACGCTGTCTTACTGGCCACCGCACAATGCCGCAACGAAAGAGTACCTGACGTTGGATACCAACAGCTCCGAAATCGGCAACGGACCTAGGGTGAAACAGTGCACCTTCTGGAAGAAGTATCTTCCCCAGCTGCTAGCCGCCACGTGTGAGTAACACTTTCTTCTAACCATTATCTCCATTACACCGCAATCGTCGCCGCCTCCACCGCGTTTTATCCGACCGCGAGACATACTCTTCTATGACACCTGTTGAGTAGAAAATGCGTTTCGTTAACGACGAAGCAAGCTCGTGACCGTCGAAAGCGAATCGATCCTCGCGATTATTACTTTTCTCGGTTGAACGATTTTAATCGAGCAACCTTTTGTTTCGTTAAACATCGCTGTTTGTCGTCCATGGATTCGTAGGGAAATTTATCTTGATTCGCTGCAACAAAGTAGAAATTTTTCTTAAAATTTCTTAAAATTTCTTTCACGCGAAAAGCGCGTTCGAATTTAAACGGGCTTCTTTAAATTCGCTCGATTCATTATGTAAATCCGATCTGGTCGGTCGGTGCAGAGACGAAAGATCATGACGGGTGGTGCTTTAAACGTCTTAAGAAGCCTTTCCCTTTTAACGTAATCGCCTTTTCGAATGACCCGCTACAATTTTTAACGTCGCGATCAGAGTCGCTGGCAAGCAATAACGAACGAGTGAAACAGGAAAGAAGATTTCTACCGTTAATTCGAGGGAAAGTTGGAAAACGAGCGAGCGATTCGAGGAGGCAGCAGTTTCGAGAGAAAGAGGATAGGGATGAAACGGAACGAGCGAGTTCTCTCTCCCCTTTGGAAAGCAATTTCGCATCCCATTGACTCTGAGCCGAGCTATTAATCGAGGCTGCTTACCCCGCTCGCTGATTCTCCGGCAAGTCAGATGCTGCAAGAAGAAATGGCCGGGTGCCAATCACCGATTTCTATTCAAAGTACATATAATACGCCTCTGTTTCGTCTTTGATCCAACGACGAATAAAAATCGCGAAAGCTTAGAGACGAGCCAATTTTTATTGGCACCGACGTCCGACAGTTCTTCGAAAGCTTTTTCTAAAATTACGGAATCGTTGGCACGGAACAGGATAACCCGTGGTCGCCGACTTCAGGATATCACTCGAACTTCTCCGGCTCGCGAATAAACGGAGAAAATACAGTTTACTTTAGGAAGATTTGAGGAGAGATGACGATAGCAGCCTGTCATTCGCGTAACGTCCCTCTTCTGACGAGTTTTTGCCGCATCGAGTCACGTCTTTTAATTCTAAAGCGTTTGTTTGTTAAGAATCGTACGAAGATCAAACAACTTTTGATTCGAAAGGAATCCAGCGACAATCGCAAGTGAAAGAGACAAAGGAGAAATCGGGAGCATCCGATGGATGGTTTGACGGCAGTGAAAACGGATAGATTAGAAAAGAGACATCACGGTGGAATAAAATCGGCGATGCAGAGGAAAATTGCTACCATGGCGCCCTCTTTGTTTCTACTCCATCCAGTGATCGTTTTCTTTTTTCCTTCTTTCAAATAATATCCATTCTAGCCTGCAGCTAGTATCTCGATCTCTTTTTGCGAAACCGTCCGAACTCTCTGCCTCTGTGGATACACGCGACGTAGCTATGCGTTTGCTTCCTTCTCTCATCAGTTCAGTAAAAGTTTCTCTTAAAATAATTAGTCGAGTCATAATTTGCTCTCATTAAATAACAAAATTATATTAATTTATGTATTCACCACCGTTATGTATAACCTTCTCCCATCTTCCTGGCAGTTTATGAATTCCTTCCTTGTAAAATGTGGTTGGTTTGGACTGGAAGAAGTTTTCGACTTGCTCTTCAGAATTGAAGGTTTTTCCATTCAAAAAGTTATGTAAGGAACAGAGAGTAAGAACGGCGGTATTGCTTTATAATTACTACATCGGTGGGTTCGGAAAGGGTTAACCGCACGCGGCGAAGGTAGCTGCGACGCGTCGCTGTCACGAGTACTGATGCTTCGTTTACTCGACAAACCATTCGCGTGACCGCAAATACACTCTGCCTGTACACCCGCGTTGCTTCCGAATCAAGGAATTCGAAATCGACCGATCTCTGGTTGAACGAAGAAACGAACGAAGAAACGCGTTATCCCCCTAGGTGCTTACCAACGCCACTCCAAATTTCATTTACGAGAGGCATTCGAGTATTTCAATTTTTACGACCGGCAAAGATTTACGACGCTTCGTGAAACGTAACAGCGAATAACGAGAACGGACGTGGATACGTGTCATTTTCATCGTGGCCTCGCCGAACCGTGAAACTGAATCTCACCAGTGTCGATGGCAGTGGTGCCGTGACGTCAGCCGAGTTAAACGCACCTTTGCTTTGGACGTATTTCGTCGTTCTACCGTTCCAGCGTTTCCCATAATCTACAATGCGGCAGGGAACTGCCGTTGACACGGCGCCAACGCGAAATCCCCTGGGAACAGGCCGTGGCTGCGATCGAATTCACGATAGTAACCCGTTATCTCACCCTAACGATCCCTCGTTAAATCCTATTTATGTCAATGCCGCAACGTTTTGACTTTCGTCCAACATCCTCCCCCGTTCGTATCCCTTCGACCGATCCCTTCCCCGATTTTCGCGCGCCCTCATAAATACTGGTAACAATCGATTCGTTCATCTTTATCGATGCGTATTACGCACCGTAACGAGGAGTTATAGCGTATGTTTCGGCGAGATCGAGGAGAGGAGAGAGCTTGCGCTTCGACCGAGACCAGATTCAATTTCACGCGGCCCTGCACACCCCGATACGATTGGTAGGACGATACAAAAAAACGGACGGGAGACGAACCAATGGACGATCGATCAACCGAAATCCACGTCCAGATAGAACGGGCTGGAGTGTTCGCCGTCCTCCCCTAACCTTTTTCATCAGTCGATCAGTCCTCCGACTCGCTTTCCTTCGCTCGATCGAATTAACGATCGTTTACCCTATAAGCAGCTAACAATTGTCGGCCAAGCGCCGACACGATTAATCGATCCGTTTTCCTTCTTTCATCTGGAATCTTGGATCTCTTTTCACGCAACCATAGGTAGGAACCTCCTGAAACTTAATTACGGTGCTTGCCGTCAGCGACTGAAGTATGTCGCCAGAATTCCATCACGAAGACTTCTCTATTTTTCTCTCTGGCAATTGGTCGGAAACTTTTCCAATCGATCGCGAAATCGAGTGTGCTTCAGGGAATACTTCCGCGTTCGGTTGCCCGTTTTTTTTATCTCGTTAGCCGACGTACCGCGCTCCCATTTCCAACGAATTCATTTGAGATCCGACACGGCTTTGGGATTTTTAGGAAAATCAGAATGTAAATCCTGCGATAAAAAGAAATAGCTAAATCATCGAAATCGGAGAATTAATACAAAATAAGAATGTGAAGAAGACGGAAGAGTTGTAAGCCCCCGAAAGGGCAGGGGTGGCAGAAAGGAAGAACGGAAGGAAGGAAGGAAGGAAGGAAGGAAGGAAGGGAAAGATTGGGAGACGGAAACATGTAAGAGAGGAGTAGGGGTTTTGATCGCGGCAGCCAGGAACGAAAGGAACGGACGAGCAGGGCAGACGAGGGTGCGGGGGTGGAAACTGGCCGCTCGGCAGGGTGGATCGATGCGGCCGCGGGTACGTCCGTGCGCGCAAACCTGCGCGCGTGTGCGTGCACCTGTGTACACGTGTGCACCCCTATGGAGATGCGTAGACGCTTGAATCAACCGTTTCTCCTGGATCGGGGATCCCTTCTCCCAATGCCCTCCAAGAATCGCGCGATCTTCTTTATTTGCGAATCGAATTTTCATCGAATTTCCCCCAACATTGCCCCCCTTTGTAGCATCCTGCATAGAGGGAAAATAAAGAGAATGATAATTGGTTTTTTTCTGTTGTAGCGAAACTAGAGCTCGGCGCGAAGGAGACGTGCAGCAGTACCAGCGTGAACGACGGGGGCCATTTGTTGGTGGTATTAAGCGTCGCGGTAATCGGCATCCTCTTCAGCCAGAGGCTGGCGATCCGAGTGGACTCGGACGGCGCACCGCGGATCTTCGACGCCCGAGGCTTCGTCTAGCTCCGGCAGTCGGCTGGCCGCGGACCGTCCTCGATCGTCGAGCATTGCCAACCGGGGTGGCCAACGGGAGACGAGAAGCGACACAGACATATCAATGCGCTCGAACGCGCTCGATCGACCGAGCACCGGTCGACGCGAGTTTCTGCTTCGCTGGTGAGACCGATCGTACGCGAACTACGAACTGCAAACTAAGAGCCGAACACGCGCTAGAAACTGTACCGATGCCGAGGGGACTCGAGGATCTCCTAGGACCGACGCGTCGGCAAAAAGAGTGCCGTTTCTCCTTTTTACTTTTCTCTTCCCTTGCTTGCCATTTCTTTCTTTTCCATCCACTCTTGTTGCTTTACGCAACGAGCTCTCGAGAGCAGGATGAAAAACGAATAGTTGCGACATCGCGGTTCTCTCGCGCCTTGTCAGAGTTACACCCACCGATTGGCGAAACGTACGTTCGAGTAATTAAGTAGTTAAGAGATGTTTGGGGAAGATAGAGACGCGTCGCGCCGTAAATTGTCCGACCTACTCCGACTGCGATTACTCCCGCAACTTTACGGCTGCGAAAGACCATCGTTGCTTCTACCCTTTCTTACGCGTTTACAGAGTTACTTTATCACAATCTCTTCTTATCCCTTGTAAAGGAGATCGTAATCGAGGCGTCGCGTCGTCGCGATAACGTTAAAAAATGAAGGATCTCGTACAGATTTTACTCTTTAACCAGGCGACGAGCAATGTGGGTCACCGCATCGGAGCTTTTATTTTACGAGCAAGATCGCCGTCAAGCTGGACGTTATCGCGTCGATATGCTATATACTGCGTGTACATACTCGACAGGATAATTCGAGCTGCCTGTTGGAAAATTTGTTAACGCGACCGATCCATTATCCGCGCATTCCTTATCGTCTACATATTTCTAAAGGTCAGCTTTCGTTTTACGTTCTATCGAGCAAGATATCAAACGACGAAACTTTAGCGAATTCGTCGCGTTCACGAGTACAGTCGACTTATTCAGTTTCGCCGGTACTGCTTTTAATCCGACCATTATGGTACCGTAATGGTAGCCGCAATTCGATCTATACGCTCTGCGGCCGTTTATACGCGCGCATATTTGTAATGGAGTTAATTGCATTCGTACGAACTGCGGAGACTTACAAGGGGAACTGCCCAAGTGTTACACTCACTTATCAATGAAACTTTGCCAGCTTGTAGAGCTCGTCGAGCTGAACATGCCTATATCCCGTTTTGTGACGACTAATTGTTTAAAAGATATTAATAATTAAAGTTAGTTACTACTTACATTGAGAAGTATGACAGACTCACACATACAACTCGCAATCTAGAGATCCCCGGTTCAAATCCTTGATTCCCAACATTTTTTTTTCTTTTAATGATAATTTGTCTCTTTTTGAATAACTATTACATCAAAATTACCATAAAAAAAAAAAATTTTTTTTGGGAACTAAGGATTTGAACCGAGGACCTTAAAGTTGCAAGTCACGGATCTGCTCCGTGGTTAAACGCATGACTCGTAATCTGAAGGTCCTCGGTTCAAATCCTGGGTTACTGTTTTTTTTTTTTTTTTTTTTTTTATGTAATAGTTATTGAAAAAAAGACAAATTATCATTAAAAAAAAAAATGTTGGGAACCAAGGATTTGAACGGTGGATCTGTAGATTGCGAATTGTATGTGTGAGTTTGTCATACCTCGGAATGTAAGGAGTAACTAACTGTATTTGTTAATATCTTTTAAACAATTAGCCGTCTGCCCCAAAAGACGGTATAGGCGTATTCAGCTCGACGAGCTCTGCAAGCTGGCAAAGTTTCATTAATAAGTGAGTGTAACACTTGGGTAGTTCTCCTTGTTAAACGCTGTTGGAAAAGTTCGAATTTATCTGATTTATTGAAATAGAAGAGAAAAGAAAAAAACGATCCAAAATGGTGAGCTTCAGTTGAATTTAATTGGGTACCAGCCACGGTAAGTTGTCGACAGGAGCCGCGATCGCCGGACAGAATTCGATAAATTGTATGTAATATAGTTTGAATTTTATAATAGACGTGTGCGATGTATTGGAAAAGACACGTTGAATTTCGCGGTGGTAGCTGGTGCTGGTTCCGCAGAATAAAGCAAACGCCGTAAAATTTTACGACGCGACAGCGAATGTAGATCTGGTCGCAGACTGCGGCACAGGCTCGATCGAAATTAAACGGCTGCCAGGACGCGTCCAGGTGCTCTGTATCGCCGCATCGAAGGTGCATTCCTACGTGCATCCCATCCCATCCTATCCTATCCCATCCAATCCCATCCCATCCCATCCCATCCCATCTCATCCCATTCCGTCCCATGCGCTCTATTTTTCTCGCGCGGCTCCGGGCGGCATCGATTTTACACCAGAATACGCTTCTATTCTTCCAGCCTGGCGGCGAAGGTCGAGCCTTAACGTTCCGACCACGAATCGCGTCGAAGGAACACGGTCTGTAAAGCGAACCATTTCAATTCCTCCACACACATTTTGCGTTTTACGTTTTCCTCTTCAGAAATATTCCAAGTTACCTCTGCAATCGATGTATACGTTGCCTCTATAAGCGACAAGATTTTTATCAACACCATCATCTTACTCCGACCAGAGGGTAGATTGTCTCTAACTATGAGGGGAGGTAACGATGCAATGTACACGCGTCTCTTGCCCTCTGAGGGTTAATGGTTGAGCGATAGCCTTGAAACGAGACTCTTCCTTTGTATAGGTTTCCTCTATAGATTCTCTACGCGTTTCGCCCGTGATTCTGTCAACCGCGATTTAATCGAACACCAACAGACGCCGTCGAGAACCGGCGATTTTCTCGAAGCTCCAATTAAATCAGGGAAGATCCGTGATCGAACAAGGTCATGGATCACGGATCTTCTTCTTGTTTCTTCCGTTTCTCGCTCCGTCAACCCCTGTATCGATTGTAACGCGAAAACTGCGAAAAGGAATCGCGCACGAACGTAGACTAAGCTCGATCAAAATTAAACGCAGAATTATTTATAAGATAAACTATTACTGTAAGTAGAATGAAACACTGCGTGCGTACACGTATAACGCGCGTACCTTAAGCGTGTACATATACATATATAATATTATGCAAAGTGTATGATATGTATAGGTATACATATGCGATGCATTGGCAAAAGTTCACCCGTGTAAAATCATCGCCGTCGAATGCTTTCTCTTTCATCCCTTACCCTTTGCCGCCAATTTTACGATTCGAATTTTTCCAACGTGGATCCTGCAACTTTGATATGTGCATGCAAAAGTATCGAAGAGCATACTTGAGAGAAATTGTTTCTGTCTGTTTTAATTCAACTGGAAGGAGATACGGGCGAAAGGGAAAGCGTTCGTAAGATGGGGAGGAAGCGATTCGAGTGGAAACGAAAATGCGAGAAAGGACAGCGAGCGAACGAACGACGCACGCGTCAGTTTGGACACGAACGATTCTCCAAGCAGCGAAAGGAATTTATTCGATAAAACAAAAACATTCGTTGATAGATCGTTTGAAAAGAACGTGAAATTGCTAGCAAGCGCGACAACGTTGAACATGATCCAAAGACCGATTTTCTTTTTCTTTTTTCGTTCGCCAACGACAGGGTTCGAATGTTCGATCCGAGCCGAGCGCTTGAATTTTGCCGAATTACTCGAAATCGACGAACTTGAAACAAAAACGAGCTACTCGAAAAAATCCAACTATTCGAATATTCAATTTACTTGAAGATGAATTTTCAGCTCGCTTTTGTTTCAAGCAGTTCGTCGATTTCGAGTAATTCGGCAAAATTCAAGCGCTCGGCTCGGCTCGACCGACCGAGATCATTCTTTGACTCGAAATTCGAGTACTCGAGTACTCGCACACCTCTGAGGGCAGCATCGCCTTCTAATTCGTTATGTGTATTATATCGTGTAAATATATAAACGTTAAGAGCCGAAGGAAAGTGTTCCAGCGACGATAATTGACGATGAAAGGCGAAACGTCGAAGGAACGTCATTCTGACGCGTGAACCGTCTCGATTCGCCAGCAAAGCAACAGCCATGTGTGAACAAGTATTACATTCACCCCGGACGATTTCTCGATACACTATGTATAATAACTTTTGGATAATTAAGTAGCTGTGAAGGTATGGTGGTGCGTGTGTACATACCTACAATACCCCTAGCATCAGGCGCGAGTATCGAGTATCGAAATGAACAAAGAAAATAATTTATTGTTCTATTGTAATCATCGCGAAACGGGACTGATAATAATTTGACGAGAAATTTCACGAGAAACCCATTCTGCCGAGATATTCTCGTTCCTCCTGTTTTTCCCTCGAGAAAAGGGAATGCGTCTAGCATTTGCATCATTTTCTTTTCTTTTCTTTCGATAGCTTCGAGAAATCTGTGACGGTTTTCTTGTTCGTAGAACTGTTTTCTTTGTCGTAAACTGGCGATATCACAGAAAAGCTATCGTCCCGGTTTCTAAGCGGGGGGTCCAAGCCAAAGTAATCCCGCTGATATACTTATTCGGATCGGCGAAAAAGAAACTGGAAGAATGCCGTCGGCTGGAACATTTCCAGGAACGTTTCTCTATTGATTCTTTATTTCGTATCCGTGTGTCGATGCAACCAAACGGATATTTGCCAGACTATCGACGTTCTGTCCCGGAATTTTTTTCCTTCCTCCCCCTCTTTATTTCTCTTCTTCATCGTCCCTTCTTCTACGATCCTTACATTTGTTGTTATCGCTATCGATACCGCGTCCTCCTCGAGGACTCGTCTCGATTGACCGCGCGGAGGAGCGGAACGAACGATCACGAATCGGATAATCGATAGTTGAATGAAGTAAAGAGCAACCAATACGAGTCGATTAACGAGCAACGATTTTTCCTCCGACTTTTGCCCTTTGTCTTTGTCTTTGACGATAAATGGAGGGGAAAAGCAGGCGTCTCTGATTCAAAGCAAAATGCTTTTCAACCATTTACGCACTTCGAAGTCTGTACAAAGGACTCTAAACGATGCAACATCGCGGTGCCAGGCGCCGCGATGGATTTCAGCCAAAGAGCTGAAGAAATGCACGCAAAGCTAAGAAAATCGTCATCGGGGAAACGCGCAAATATGATTTTCCTCTAGGAAAAAAGATATACCGGGTACATGAAAGTCATCCGAACAATAGTATGCGTTCACGGCTGAAACAGATAGGGGGAGTTCCCTTAGTACCGGTCGGCACCTAGTATCGGACATTAGCTATATCTAAAAGAACTGAAATGTGACAAAATTGTTTCAACAGTCAAAACAAAGGAGAAGATAAAAAAAACGTTTGACGGTTAAAACAATTTTGTCACATTTCAGTTCGTTTAGATATAGCTAATGTCCCATACTAGGGGAACTCCCCCTACACCTACCGTTCATTTTCTCATTATTTTTTTTGATAAATTTTCTGTGATATGTACCTACTTCGAATCAGCTTTAAAGAAACCGAACAAACGCGATGATAGCAAACAGAGTTGAAATACTTTTGCGAACCGCGCACTATCTTTCGTTGCTGTTGTCTTGATGAAGAACTCTGTTACCTAAATTATACAGTGTGTAGTGTCGTATCGTGTCGTATCGTGTCGTATAAGTAGGTAGTGGTACAAGCTGAAAAGTGGCGATTCGTACGAGGCTTTCTTTTCGAGAAAATTGATCTTGAAAATTCTCTTGACACGAATGTACGCTTCGTTTCCGTTCGTGGAACAGCACAGTTACCTATGCTAATAGAATGAGCGACGCTTTCAACAATTTTTAAGCTATTCAAATAAAACTGTTTAAAAAACGAATGTTTTTCTTTTTTTTCATTCTTAGAAATTTCACTTTCCCGTTTGTACCACCGCATTGCTTTCGTTGTACCGTTTTGTTATATCCGTTTTTCTTGCGAACCTCCATACTCTGTTCGAACGCCAACGTGTACCCGTGTACAATCCGCTCTGCGATCACCGTTTCAATTGTCGCTTAACAAACTCTGGCTAATCCTGTATATAATTGAATGTATAATAATCGCTCGTAACACGTCGAATGTCGTTCTTCTGTGCATCGTTCGACGCGATGCTTAGAATAAGCATCGTAACTGCGGCGATGTTTCCAGACTCGTTAGAAACGAAATCGGCTTTCGGTGCACCCTGTCAACATTTTCATCTCCCTGTATGACGCGAAATAAAAAAAAAAAAAAAAAAAAAAATTTCATTCGAATATTGAAAGCGAGAAAGGAGGACCGACGGATTGTCGAAAGCGGCGAAACGATTAAAAGCTGGATATATGCAATAATCATTGGGACCCAGACGTTGCATATATCCAGCCGAGGTGTCGATTCTGGGCATTTAAACGTTGCATATATCCAACCGAGGTGTCGATTCTGGGCATTTAATGTTGCATATATCGAGCCGAGGTGTCGATTCTGCGTCCGTACACATCGTTTGTATTCAGCCGCGATACCTATTCTACGTTCGTATACAACATGCGACGTGTTGCATGTTGCATGTTGCGTGTTTGATGCATCTTTCGTGTACGGCCTGCCTTATGTTTGGTATCATTTTAATCAGAAAAATCTCACAAATACGTTAGTAAAAGTTTCATTAAGAAAAAGTTAAAAATAAAAAAGTTTTATCGTTCAATTAGTCACACCGATATTACGGTCGGATCATATTACACGGTTTCCTCGTCGAGCGACTCGGTTCGCTTAGGGGGATCCCCCCCAAGTGGAGGGGATAGCGATGTTGCATATATCCAGCTTTTACTGTATTCGATAAAGATCCATGTTTTTCCTTTCTTTCTATCTTTCGTCGTCGAATCGAGCTCCGTCTAAATGGGGTAGAAAGGAGATTTACAGCGAGTCGTTGAAGAAAAGTAGCCCACAGGCCTAAATACGCTCTAATTAATTACAAAACACACATACATACACACGCGCGCGCGAGAAATGGAAAAGTAATTAACCATAGCCGAATAGCTGATCGCATTCGATACGACATTTGTTAACCGCATCGTCATATTTTTCTCGTTCGTTCTCTGTTATTACCATCGTATTAGATGCCGATTGTCGAGACACGATCGACTGCCAGAGGGTTGCGTCCGCTCGGCGGTGCATTCTATCCTGCTTCCCTATGGTTCGATCCTCCATCGAATCTATCCCTTCCGTTCCTCTCGATGCTTCTTCTTACTCGACAAAGCCTTTTCTTAACGAGCAAATGTTTCGTCCGAGTAAAGCTCGATCCTTAAACAATTAAACAATTCCAGTAAAAGAATTTCTTCAAAGCGCAGTTTTTTAGCAACGAGAATCGAGGCACAAACTCACGGAACGCGAACGCGCGTGACGACTTAACAAACGACAAACCAACTACCTAATATTACCTAAACGTATAAATATAGAGATACAAAACAGCGTAACGATTATTTATTACGTACAATTATTCATTGTTTTATGTTCTTTCTTTATTTCTTTGCGATTTCAAATTATCGCCTCACTGTATTATCAGATAAAAGATATGAAACTCTAAGTTTACGAACCTGACTCATGAATGAGTTATTTTCATCGAATAGATTAATATTGCTATCGATATTGTTATTATCATTATCATCATCGCCATCAGTCGTCGTCGTCATCATTAACGTTATTATTATTAACGAGTAGTTGTTGCGTACATATTATACGAAGAAAAAAAGTTTTAAAAAATAACTTTACTGCTTGTATATACTGAGAATATCATAATAAAAATAATATGCGAACCATAGTGCAGTGCCGTTCTGTTGATCACATTTCCCTTTGAAAAGGATAACGCGTTGCCTCGGTTACGATTCTTCGTATTCACTAATCTTTACGCTTTATCGATTAAACAAATGGAAAACTTATCGCTTTTCATCTTCGAATCGTGACCAATTCATCGATAAGCGGATCAAATGAGAAGCGATACTATTAGCAGGAATTCCATTGAAATGTATGCACAAAGAACCAAGATATGTCGCGTGTTACCTTAAAGAAAATTAAGCTCGTCATTAAATCGAACGAAAAAACTAACGTTTTACATATGTGTAAATTAATGTAACATATATTTATGTACGTACAATGCATCAAGGAATAAATGCACCGTAACAGAACAGTATTTATTATAAAGTACAAAGTATAGAGACATACAGTAAACATAAAAGAAATACATCATTTTTGTACATGTATCACGTGAAAGATGTACATCTTTCAGACTTTGCCAGACAGATATCGTAAGCTACTTGTTAAAAGCACCTTCTTCAACAGCTTTCATTACAAAAGTTTTGTATGTACAGCCATCTAATTCAGTGAACCCCGGAGTACGTAACATTATGGTGATACGATTCGCTGCAAAATTTAAACAGTATTCCTGTATTTCCTAAAAGAAGAGTAATACACATCACGTACATTAATGCTGTTCTATTAAGAAAGATATAAAGAAAACAATACTTACCTTAGCTGTATATTGAACAGCATTTTTATACAAAGAGATTACATTTCCAATAGTAATCCCTTTCTGTACTGTAAACATACAGAGACCCTTCAATTCATCTTCCGAATAGGTATCCGCTATATGAAAAAGCTCTTGACAAAAAGATACACAGTTGTTAAATATAAAATATAAAATACCATAAACAGTATGATTATGTATATTTACCTGCTACATCTTCTACAAGTAAATTAATCTCATTGGTGTACAGATATTGCAAGAAGCCTGCATATACATTGTAGGAAAATTCTTCGATTTCTATAACACTGAAATATACCGACTGTGTCAATAAAAATACAGACGTGTATAAAAATTATGAACCTACCTCAGATTCTGCTTATCCCAGTCTTCGTCAAACTTTCTTCTAAGGTATCGACAACGTATTTTTAAAATAGCTTTATGTACGTAGATAGGTTTTCTTTGCACTTTTATGATCAGGTCGCTTGTAGTCTTTCATACAATATAAAAATAATTAGAAAAAACAGCAAACACAGTAAAAAATGTAAACTCCCTTGAAAAATACTTACTGGGTCGTTAAATGCATTCCACAAACAGTCGATCAAACTCGCTTCCGTTGGTTCTCCATAAACTACAAGTGGTTGATCCGTTACACAACGCGATGAATAAAACGCAAACGCATCGTGCAAATGTTTTAATGGTCTATACGTTGGGACTCTAATAAGTTTTTCGAGACAACGTCCCCAAACAAATACCTCGTTTTGCTCTCCCATAGCTACACTTATATCGTTACAATATGAAGCCGCTACATCCAGCACTCTTCCCATTTCATGTGCATTCAGCTAAAGAAATCTTCATTACTATAAATTCAATAACAAGAGTACATTTTATGTTACCTCCACTGGATGAGAAACACTATCATGCTGATTAGCAATTCCCAACTGTCTGGCATTGTTTCCACCCCATACATACAAAACTCCCGTAGTACTCAATGCTAGAGTATGTACACAACCACAAACTACCTTTTCTATCAAACAAAATAAATACTACTAAAGTTACAAAATAACTTTAATTTATGCAGAGAATCAAAATTTGATATTACCAATCACAATGCCATCGAGTGCTGCTACTTCGCAAGGATTCTTCTGTCTAGAATTATTGCCAATTCCTAGCTGACCTTCACTATTTTCGCCCCAACTATAAATCTTACCCATATCTGTAACTATCATGTTAAATGCCATACCACAAGTAACAGAAACGATGTATTCATCAATTAAACCAGTCGTCATTTTCATAGGTACATTTATCCGAATACCAATACCACCCCATGAATATACCTTAAATATACATGTATCTTGGATTAATTTAAAACAAAAAAAAGTAAACTATTTTATATATGAAGCTTCCATTTTACCTTTCCTTTATTTGTCAGTGCAAGAGAGTGATAACATCCACAAGCTATATCCGTAATGTGTTCATTGCGTACAGAATTTGTTACAATAGTTGGTATTAAAGACTGTTGGTAACATCCATTCCCTAATTGACCATAATCATTTTGTCCCCATGAATATACCTTTTACATAGAATTATATTATTAACCAATATAATGTTTTATTAAAGTTAATAATACTATTAACAGTATAGTTTGATTTAACAAGTTTTAAGTACCATTCCTTGGTTTGTGAGGGCCAGAACATGATTTTTGCCAAATGAAAAGGTTTTTATATCCTTGTTACATAATTCTTTAACTGGAATTGGATCAAATGTGTCACAAGTATCACCAGTTCCAAGACACCCATTTGTATTAGTTCCTATTGCATATACCATGTTATTATTTGTTACTAATAAAGCTTTGTTGCCTGAGTAATCTGTTGAATGAAAATTCATTTTATTACTTGTAACAAGATTTATTTTTTTACCAATATATGAATAATATACATAAAATGTAAATTACAAAATTAGTATTACCATGCACAATAACCATACGGACTTTTGAAATGAACTGGGGCTCTAATATAGTAAAAATTGGCCAATTCTTTAATTCAGAGGAGGAAAGCATGTTTATATTTCAACCAAAGTTTTGAAGTAATAAAATAGTCTGAATACTTAATTTAAGGCTTTAATAACTTAAAAAGTTTTCATAAACTGTTCAAACTTTATTGACATGTATCAATACTCCTTCTGTTTTATAATTAGATGATCAATTTCCATACTCCAACAATTAAAGAATGAACAATAGCATCTTAGCCACAGCCGACTCTAGTACTAGCCGTGCTGAAGTAAAAATGGCAACACCGCGGGAGTCCGGTCTGAATATATCAACACCTACCCTACTCTATCTGCCTCCCGGACTCCCAGACTCTCAGCCAATCAACGTCGTCAGACTCCCGACTCTCTGGACTCTCTGGACTTCACATAACCTCTTTGGTTTCGTTCCAATAATTTCGCTTGTTTCAAGGTTTTTGTTAACTTATATACACGTTCATCAATTCTTAAATGTTTCAATTTGATCCAAAGATGGTTTCATTTTGCTTCATACCTAAATTTTCTTGAAACCACTGTAAATATTTCAAATATCATGCTTCACAACACCAAACTACTTTGAGAGTACACAAAATATATATCACATTTATAACAATTTTATACTACCACATCACTTCTATTTGCCATAGTTGCAACGTTTATATATTGTTTATACATAATTAACACCAAATAGTGTATATTACTACAGCTTTTAATTAAAAAAGACGTTAATTACAATTCCGAGCACAGGACTCTGTTTTTGAAAATAGGACTCCCGATTGTCACGTGAGCGGTGTTGCCACGTTGTTCAGCGTGGCTAGTACTAGAGTCGGCTGTGGTCTTAGCTTCTTTCTAGTATAAGTTTTATGAGCCTCCTGTAAGTGATTTTTAAAGTGATCGTTCTTGTAAGTTCGACATGGGACGATGATGTCGCTATGATTATTTATAATTAATTAATTACGAGCTGGATCGTTAAAAAATTTACATATATATATGTGAAAGTTGCTACAAGTTATGTAGATTAAGAATCAATCATGAAAGTTCATAAATTGTTCACCAAAAAGGAGTTATTAATGATTTTTCCTTTCACTGTCAATTCTTAAAAGTTTGACCACGTCAGACTTTGGAACTAACAAATAAGAAAATCCAGTTTTTTGGCAAAATAAGGAATCTTTGAGCCTTTCCAAGGCCGCCAAATGATTCTCTGAGTTTGTATGTATACCGCAGTTCACCAGAATCCATAACTGCGAAAAGACTGGAAAAGACCAGTTTTCGTTCTTCACGCATCTCTAGTACGCATCTTCGCCCTGATTGGCGATATTCCCAAACGAAGTGGAAAGCGATTAGCAGAGAACTCGCTGCGTTCCCCCACCATCTTCCAACCTGCGCGTCAGTTATGGACTCTGGTGAACTGTGGTATACATACACATAGGAAAAATCTCATTTCAAACATAGGCATTTCATGGACGAAAAAATTGGCATCCATCTAGCGGCAAAAAGGTGGAACTAAAGGGCCAATACTTTTCCTGCCCTTTTTAACTCTATACAAAATTGAACTGATTTATCATGTTTTTAATAATTAAAACTTTGGAGAAAAATAAATCACTCAATTATAAATATATATGTATGTATTTGCGGTATAATATTGTTGCATTCAAAATCAGTTTTAAGAAAAATTTGATGTTTTATTTATCAATATAAATCCCTTTAGAGATGTTATGACCAATCATTAATTTTTCCTATTGTAATAACGCAGAAGGGTGTCTGGAGCCTCTAAAATAATGATCCCTCGAGAACAAAACATCGTCTAGTCTTTTTTTCTAATTGTAATCACATTTTTATTGGAGATAATCCATAAATGTCTATATATATCTGTACATTCTCCCTCTCTCTCTCTCTTCCTCTCTCCAAAGACGGAATGGTGTGTCGCATTCCTCTCCAACCAGAACAAAAATTGCCTTGTGTTATTCACATAATAAACATTACAACCTATGTTTTAAAAGCACCAGCTCGGGCAGCTTCAATTAAAAAACCGTTTAGAATTTTTTTATCCAACTCCAGAAAATCTGAATTTTGGATTACTGCAGTCATATGATTCAATGCAAATTTGAAGCAACATTTCTCTAGTTCCTAAAGAAGCATGATATGTGACAATACTTCAGAAAAAACTACTATATTGTAAGGAGTAACATAAAGAATGTTACTTACCTTAGTATGATATTTAAAAGATATAGTATAAAAACAGGCTATGTTTTTCAATGTAATTTTTTTCATCAACATCTGTATACAATGTTCTTTTAAGTGACTTACGAGGTACATATCGGCTAACTCCAGAAGTTCCACTATATAAAAAATACAGTTAATAAGATTGAGAAATTAGGGCGTAAAATGTAAGCATTTACCTAGTTCGGAGTCGGAAACTGCATCAATTTTGTCGGTATATAAATATTTTAGAAATAATCTATATACTTCGTAAGAAAATTTATCGATTGACACATCACTACAATAAGAAGCTTAATTAATAAAAATATAAATATGTGTAGCAAAAAGCTGACTCACCTTTTAGTATTCTCTGCCCAATTGTCTTGAAACATTGTTCTGAAGTATTGACAACGTATTTTCAAAATTGCTTTATGCACATGAATGTGTCTTCCTTGCACTTTAATAATGAAATCACTAGTGACCTTTGAACACACAAACGATAACATAAGGGAATAGTGAAACCAATAAGGATATCATTGCTGATAAAGAATACATACTTGATCGTCAAACGCTTCATCCAAATTATTCGATAAACTTAAACCTTTTTTATTAAAAACGAGCGGCTGATATGTTACCCTAGGCCACGCATAATACGCAAAAGCGTCGTGTAAACATCGTAATGGTGTGCATCTTGGGGCTATGATGTTCTGTCCTAGACACTGTCCCCAGATAAACACTTGGTTCTCTTTTCCCATAGCTACACTTATATGACTGCAATGCAAAGCCGCTATATCCTGTACTCTTCCCATTTCTTCTACTTCCAACTGAGAAATTTTCCATTATTTCAAACTCAGTAACAAAAGTATACTTCACCATTACCTTAAATGGAACGGGATTATTCTCCAGTGTAGAACCATGACCTAATTGCCCAGAACTATTTCCACCCCATACATACAAAGCTCCTTCATTACTCAAAGCTAGGGTATGCATGTAACCACAAACTACTTTTTCTATTAAAAAAAATAGACACTGTTATAATTAGGAAAAATCATAATCTATACAGCTGGACAAAATTTGATATTACCAATTACAACACCATTTAGTGCTATTATTTTGCAAGGACCGTTTACATCAGAACAGTTACCAACACCTATCTGGCCAACTTTATTTTCACCCCAACCATAAACTTCTCCTTTTATTGTAACTACCATGCTATACTCGTTACCACAAGCACAACAAACAATGATATTATCATTTAAAACAGGATATGTTATTCTTGTACCGTTAGCATATGCCCATACATATACCTTAACAAAAAAAAAGAAATAAGTACATACATACAATTATAATTCTTTATCCAAAGCTTTCATTTTACCTTTCCTGTATTTGTCAATGCAAGAGAGTGACAACTTCCACAACCTATACTCACAACATGTTCATCAGGTAGAGTATCTATGATAATAGATGGTTTCACATTTTCCATAATAGATGGTTTCACATTTTTCGTAACAAATGTTCTATTAGATAAAGATGAGTGTGAACGGATATGATCCCTTCTTCCCCAAGAATATACCTTTATAATTATATTATTAACCAATATAAAGTTATATTAAAGTTAGTAATACTATTAACAATATAGTGATTTTATAAATTTCAAGTACCAGTCCTTGCTTTGTAAGAGCCAGAACATGATCTTTACCAAATGAAAAGGTTTTTATATCCTTGTTACATAATTCTTCAACTGGAATTGGATCAAATGTGTCATAAGTATCACCAGCTCCAAGACTCCCATTTGTATTAGTTCCTATTTCATATACCATGTTATTATTTGTTACTAATAAAGCTTTGTTGCCTGAGTAATCTGTTTAATAAAGGTTAATTTTAAATTACAAACAGTGGTAATAATTGAAGTTTTTAAACAAATAAACTGAAAACTAAATATTACCATACACGACAGCTATATGAATGTTCGACATAAACTTTGGTTCTAACGTATTAAAAATTTGCCAATGTTTTAAGTCATGAAAATGCATTGTTGCAACGACTACAGATCACTATAAATTGCTACAGATCAAACAAGACTACACATGCTCGGTCCTTGACACCCCGATGCAAAGAATGTTACGGTATACAAAGAATGTTATAAGTGCTCGGGGTCCCTGACACCCCGGATGCTATAATGTCGATACGCAGAGCATTCCCGGTGGTTCGGGGTCCCTAACACCCCAAGCTGTGGCGACCGTTGTCGATAAGGAAGATTGAAGATTATTCTCATCGCCACCTTTTTATAACTACATTTATTGTTCATTTGTCATTTTAAACAAATTAGAATAACTTTTGTAACTATTCATTCTTCGCCAAATTCTCCAAGCCTAAAGACGTGTCAACCTTTATATCAATATTTCCAAATATATATTTTTACAATTTAAACTCTAATAATTCATTTTTAAATATGGAATAAGTCCTCCATAAAGCCATCGGACATTGCGCCATCTATACAAAAGCGGCGCAAACTATTCGTTAACTTACCGACTGCCGCAGGGTCGATCACCGACTGTCAGAAGTTCAGTCGATAAGTCGGTAAATTATTGAGTAGTTTCCGCCGCTTTTGTATAGATGGCGAAACCATCGAAACAAAAAAGTACAACTGGTAAGTACTTCTTTGATGTCCAAAGACAACTTAATGCTTTTCAGCGCGTAGCCAAATGTCCCTTTGTCGAGGTATCATATCCAGTGGTGGAGATAACTTCTCTTCCCTTAGCTTAGACCGTCTTTTTCCCTATTTAACATATCGAATAAATCTTTCCTCTATTTTAATTCGGAAAGATTGTTCTTTATCAATAAATTTCCATTTGTTTTTGCAAGTAAAATCTGTGAATTGTATGACACCTTGTATATTTATCAATAATAAAGATTTTATGTCAGAATTTAATGTTTATTACAAAAATTCACTATTCATTCCTTTTGAATACAAAAAGAAAATTCTTCTTATTAACTATTCATCTTATCATTTTCTCTTTAATGTTACTTTATTCGAGAATTAATTGCTTTGGGAAATTTAATCCAATAGAATGGGAGAGCTATCAGAAAGAAGTCTTCCTTATTGGAAGAGAGTTTTTTCATGCTCATACATACGTATATATTTCTCGGCTAAAATGCGGTCACTGAACTTACAAGCCTTAATATTTAGATATCGATTAAAAACAATTTCAACTTTGCTCCATTGATCAGACAAAAACAAAATTAATCAAGAAAAAATCACATTGCAAAAGCTTAACTCAAAATAGTTGGTCCGATTTCTTTTTATTTAACACATTGTTCTCGTTTCTATGGCAATACTTTACGTGCAAGTGCTCGAAGATTGGCTTGGCCTAACAGACGTGCCGCAAGCACTGCTTTTGAGTGCTGGTTATTTTTTGTAACCTTTTTCTTAACAATTTTTAATTGTATATCAAACTAGAGGGACAAAATTACTTTTCTTTGTTACAAAAAACTGAGCCCCGGATCATCAAGGTAGCAAGGAAAACTTGCTTTCAAACACGTTCATTCTCGCACAGGTGAGCAATCCATATATCATATAAAATATTCTTTCTAAAAGTTCTTTTACTTTGCATTCGTCGGGACTCTTTACTTGAGTGAAATTTTTCTATGTAGTAATTCTATGTTTTGCCTGAAATTTATTTGATAATGGGAAACAGTGCAATAGCATCGGGCAATCTGGCACCTCGCTCACCTATTTTATAGGTTGGGTATATCTCAGAGAGGAGAAAGTATGAAACAATAATCTGTAAAAGAGAAAGAATCGAAGATCTTGCAGTCGAGTGAAGATGTCAGCATTTCTTTACAAGGAACATCACAGCCGGAAATTTGTATAAACTGTATTTTGCATTATATCGGTACTTTGTACGTTAATTGAAAATAAAGATATGTCGAAAATTTATAACGGAAACATTAATTTTGCGTAATGGAGGCTTTACCACTTTTCGTTTTTTATTTCTACATAATTTCTGCGTTTGTAGAAATAATATCAAAGGTAGAAATAATTTACATTACTTCTATTTCAGAATGGCTCGTGGACAACAAAAGATTCAATCACAAGCTAAAGCAGCAGAAAAAGCTGCAAAAGTAAAAAAGCAACAAGGACACAGTGCCAATGAACAAAAAAAGGCTGCACAGAAAGCTCTAGTACATGTGTGTGTAGTATGTAAGGTTGGTAAACTATTATAAAGAAGCTCTATGACTTATTACTTATAAGTATTGCCAGAATATGGTTGACACTTGATATTTCATGTATTAACAGGCCCAAATGCCAGATCCAAAGACGTATAAGCAACATTTTGAGAATAAACATCCCAAGAACGAGTTGCCAGACGATTTAAAAAATATATGAGGGTGCGATCTTTTGTATAATTGCAGAGCTGAGATGCAGCAAAAAAAGAAATGACTACAAATGACAAAGTGATATACTTCAATGTTCAACCGATCATTAAATAGTCTTAATTCAAAAAATAAATGAAATCTTGTTAGTGTTTAAAGTGAACTATTGCACAGTTAAGAAATGAATTTTTGTGCACAGCCCCGAATTATTCTAACATTATTGATGGTTCACTTACAAAATCAAATATCCATTTCTTCCAAAGATATTCAGCATTCTTCATCTAATATGTGATTCTTAAGTTTTTCACTTAAGCATAAAAGCAATGGAGTATGTATATTGCTAAGAAATAAAAATAATGAATTTAGCAGAATTGTTCCAAGGATTTGTACGTATTTTGATGTTATAGGCAGTAAAACAGTATTTATTCCTCTGTTATTAGAAAAATGATTAATTCAATGTAGATATTATATGTATAACGCATGGAAATCGCACGATTCTCGAGAATTTAAAAAATTCCAAGAAACAGATGAAAATGATATTTTACGAGAATTGAGAAACTGCCATTTTATAGCATCTACCATTTACTTATTAATATTCTATGATTAGAATGTATCACACTATGATCTATTATTCTTTCATGTATTTGAGCCTCATTTTAACTGAAATGAAATAGTTCGTTATTTTGAATTACGTTATATTAATGTAAAACTTAATAGATATTTGTTTTTGACAAAATTACAATTAACTTTCAGTACTTAAACCCTTTGCTCTTTTATACCGAGAATAATTGATACAGTGAACTGTTTTGTGTAAATTAATTTTACAAAGTATTGTGTACTACATTGTACATTTGTCTCTATGCGTTAACAAAAATGTGTAGCACTTATTACAGAATCTATTATTCTCGGTAATTGATAGACTCATTGTACTTCAAAATACATACATATGCTTTAATACGCCAAGTGCATAGAAATTTAAATATACTGAAGGTATGTTAATAGTGTTCAGTGCTAACGTGGTTTGTGGGAATTCCTAGCATGTGTTTAACTTAGGAATAAGTATGCGCATTATGTAATTTATTCTGATAAAATAATTATACAATTTTTCACAACAATTGCATCATATTAATCGTTTTCCTTTTAAAAACTTTAAGGTACACAATTATGTTGCAGTATCGACATAAAGTAATTTTAAGATTACTTTATTTTTAAACATCTTTTATTTTGCGGTACCTCAACGATAAACAATAAGCAGAAACTTCAGTGCAACAACGATGACGTCATGCGGTAACAATCAGTGGGAAAAATGTTGCATAGAAAGCTTCTTCCTATTAGATAGTATTTTTTGTTAGTTTTGCTGTGTCACGATTGTTTATCAACTGATTTTAACTGGAACCATAAAGTCTAGGGAAGATTACATCATTCAGGGAGGAAGACGAGATCTTATATACGTACGAATGATCCATGGGTATCTCAGTCAGTTTTAATCTGTCACTGCGCGCGGCAGCATCGATATTTTCTTCGGAGCTAACAACTTTCATTTTTATACTTAACACAATTTAGTAACTTTCTTTCTGGAGGTCATTTTACAAAATTTTATACTTGAAAATTGATCCTTCTTTGTAAATTCCATCATCGACGGTTCCAAGAGGTAGCAAGTTAAATCAGGTACTGTGTTCTTTTTTTAAATAATTCAAAATCCGTGCAGTTCGTTTGTTTCGTCTCCGTTAAAAGATAAAATCTTGGAAAACATTTGAATATTGTATTTCGACTTCGTATTGCCACGTTAAACGGGTTCGTTAGTTTTCTTCGGTAATTCGTCTTAAAAATTTCGTAACTGATCTGCTATAATCTAATCACAAACGTACACTGATCATTTAAATAACAGATAAGAGGATGAACGTATTTATTTAATTAATCGCAGCTACGGTTCTTTACAAATTAAGGCGTAGGGTTAGAACGAAAATTCCTGCTTTTCTATAGTTAACTTTACAGATATCAGCTACTTGGATTAGAAACGCTGCTCACTATCTAAACTCTAAACACTGATCGAATAATTAATCTAAATTCCAAGAAGACGTTATTCTTCATTATTGTTCTTGAAGAATAATGATCACAGTTTCATTATCCTAGAGTAATTCATGTGATAAAATAATTGACAATATATATATGTATTTATTTGAGAAAGATGAAGTAACTAAAATCTTGGTTAAAATCTCCCAAGATGGTGGAAGGTTTAGCTCCTTAAAGAAGAAAAGCCTACGTTGCAGCTGAGTGCAATATATATACAAATATAATTAATTTTCACATGAAAATTTCAGCCGACTTCTATTGGGAAAGTGAGAAATGATGGACTCGGTATTTCGTACCCGATCACTTGGTACCGCAGCTGAGGGTGTCCGCGATCAGTATGCGGATGGAAGAGCTGCTAAAGTATGGGAAGTGTTCATAGGCGACACGAAACAGAGGACCCAAAATTATCGAGATTTCTTGGTGGGCTTGTTACGAGAGAAAGGTTGTCACAGAATTCTAGACGTCGCATGCGGTACAGGCGTGGACTCTGTGATGCTTCTCGAAGAAGGTTTCGAGGTGGTCAGCGTCGACGCCTCGGACAAGATGCTCAAATATGCACTGAAGTCTAGATGGGAACGTCGCAAGGAACCGGCCTTTGATAACTGGGGTAAATATCACTCGGTACCTAACATTACATGCTCCAAACAGCCGGCGAATCTTTGATGTTCCGGTGGTGATCGATGGATATAGAGAAATAGTACTATATATCTCTTTGTAGGGGTTTATTCATTTTATTTGATCTGTCTCTAATTATATTGTCAAGGCATTGTTGTTATCGAGAGATACAGCAAATGTTGCTCGATACGAATGCTTTTTATCTTCTTTGTACCTCGAAACATGTTTTGTATTGGCGAATCAGGAGTTGACCGCTGTGTTTTCGTAAGATAGCAACTGATTAAAATGGCAGCTCCATCTTCGTTGCAAGAAATTACGTAGCGCGTACGAGAGCAATAGAATCATTATGAAATCACTGTCTCGATAAACGCTCATCTTTCATTATTATTGCTTCTTCTTTTTTCTTCTTTTAAAACTCGCTCCTGATTATCGCTTATCGTCCGGGAGCCACATGGTAATAAAGAAAACTGCCTTATCAAAGGTCAATCGTTCAGAACGCTCTTCTATTTTTCTTCTATTTCATTTAAAATCTTTTTATGTTTCGATTTAGCAATAATGTTTACTCCGTTAACCGTTTTCAGTAACGTGTTCAAAATCACGTATATTTGCATGCAGTGTGATAGCCACTCTTCTTTTTCTTGTTACAGTAATTGAAGAGGCAAATTGGTTGACTCTACCAAAGGACATTCATCATTTGACAGGAGATGGTTTCGACGCCGTGATCTGCTTGGGAAATAGTTTTGCTCATATGCCGGATAGTTTTGGCGATCAAAGGGAACAGAGGTAATACCATCTCCAAATTGAATGTGGATTATTCAGACAATTTTGTTTGAAGTTTTTTTCTAATTTGATTACTGTCTGCAGGCAAGCGCTGCTGAATTTTGAGCGTTGCGTGAAACCAGGTGGTTTATTGTTAATTGATCACAGAAATTATGATTATATCATTGAAACTGGCAACATACCTCCAAAATGCATATATTACAATGCAAGTATCTTTTTTTTCTGTTTTCTCTTTCTAATTGATATATTTCTCGTTTGAATTGGCTGATTTTAACAGTTGTGAAACTCATTACAGAGCCAACACATGACAAATATTAAAGCATCGGTGCTGTTCGTCTCAGGGAAGCCAGCGATCGTCACCCTGGACTACATGATTACATTGGACGATAACGAGGAAGAACAAAATGAAGGGAACGTAAGCGAGTTTAGACTCTCTTATTATCCACATCGATTAAACGTCTTCAGAGACATGCTGGACGAGGCGTTCCACTATAGGGCCAAGCATACCATTTACGCTGACTTCAAGGCTCTCGAAGAGACGAAGAATCCTGGTTTCTATATTCACGTGATGGAAAAGCCAGTTTAAAAACGTTTTCTGCAAAATTCTGATCGTTTCCGGCGTCAAGAGCGGTTCATAATCGGAATCACTATTCAAACTTGCATCTGACGCTTCATGGGAAAACAAAATACCACCGCGCAATCCTTACTTAGTCCACGATTTACATTATAAGTTTCTTCATTCATTTGTGCATTTATTCAAAAGTTCGTGGATCAAAGGTCAAGGATTAATCTTGGAATCTATTGTAGCTTCTTGGGCTTACATTTTGCAACATGACTTTATTTTTATTGTACTTTTTTATACCAATAAAAAATCTCATAACTTTGTTTGCAGTTTCTTTTGTTATAGCACATCTTCTTTTGATAGTACTACAAGTCAGACAAAATCAGCACAAGACCGAAAAATTATTAAAATAATTATCTGACACACTTATATTTTGAGAAGACCGCCAAAGTTCGACCACTGCGCCATCTATACAAAAGCAGCGGAAACTACTCAATAAATTACCGACTTGTCGACTGAACTTCCGACAGTCGGTAATCGACCCTTTGGCTGTCGGTAAGTTAACGAATAGTTTACGCTGCTTTGATATAGATGGCACAATGGCCGATGGCTTGGGGTATTAGGGACCCCGAAGCACCGGTGATGCTGTTTGCATATCGACATTATGGCACCCGGGGTGTCAGGGATCCCGAACCTACAATGTGGGACCCAGACATTTTATAGAAAAATTAAAACCTCTAACTTTTGACTCCAACCACTTAGCCGCACAAACGCAACGGTTTTGAGCTAGTTTCAGTGAGACCTGAAACTCTAACCCTAGTAATTCTCAAGTTGAATTTTATATGTATTGTAAAGTATGACTTGGCCGAAAGTTCGACTCTTACAATAAAGGGAAGAATGAAAAGAAAAAAAAAGAAAGGATCGCACAAGGATCGATTCAAAATGCGTATACGCAAGAGAGAGCAGCTGTTTAAATTTTAAACTTTTTTTATTATAAGTTCGAAAGCAGCTTTCCTTTGAGTATTCTAGCCAGGCTTCATTCGATGCTACAATTTGATCTCTCGATGATACGATTTTTTTTTATTATTACTATTTCTGAGCGGTCGTCGTCGACATGTTCTTGCATAAATGGTTCCACGCTTCTAAAAGAAACTAGGCAAACCAGTTAACATGTAACATGTTTGCTTGATCTTCACACTTTGGCTTAATCCTAGATGTTGTACTTGAATTTGTTACCTCAGCATCGATACTTTCTTCGACTCGATTTCTCCTCTTTTTTAAAACTCTATACCTGTTTTAGTAACGAGTCATCATCCTCGCTACTTGCTCACCAAATTTCCTAAAATAAGTAATACACTTATTCTAACTGTCTTCCATCGCATTTTTACTCTAGTCCATCAGAAAGTTTAAAAGTGAGTTAGCGGAGGGACAGATAATAAAGTGAAATCCTAAAAGCAGTATCCTTCTAAGTGGTAAGAGAGGGATTTCAAACTCGTGCCACTTAGAAAGGTAATTATACGTACATAATCATGAATTTTCTACTGACCCTGAAACCTTCAGCAATTTCCAAGATATCCTTTATCGAAATTATTCAAAGTCTCTATGGAAGTAGATATTTACAGAATCGTTGGATGGATCAGCTTACGAGGAAATATTTCAGGATCAGGATAGTTAAAAGTAAGCGATTATGATGTGAATTTCAATCGAAGCTGAGGTCTCGTACGATCCTCTACGATGGTCGTCGACGATCGCTCGAAATTGAAAATGACAAGAACAAGAACGTTGGCGAGGATCATTCGTGTTCGTCGCGTTTACTTTTTTCTGGCTCGCGTCGAATTTTACGAGAGTTCGCAATAGATCGGCTCGTCGAGCCACGAGCGCCACGGAAACCTGATCCTAATCTACAATCCCAACGATATCAATACGTCCAGCTTGATTAACGATCTCTTTTCAATATTTTTCATAACGTCAATCGATGTTAATTCGTTAATTCGTACTGTTGGATGCCTGATTTTGTTTTTCATTTTGGCTATCTTCCGAAACCGTGAACCACGATTCGATTTCGCAAAGTTACGATCAAATTTTATTTCGAGTTTGATCGCAGTACTATAACCAATTTTCCGATTTTTTCAAAAAGTTGACGACTAAAGAAACTAGAAAAGAAAGTATTCTCTAGTAGATGAATTTCGAATTCGAATTTAGTTCTATCTCGAACATCGAACAGTACGTTGATCGATCGATCGATATTCCGTGACGCTCGACAATCGAAGAGCACTACCGGAAGTGACAAGGACAGAATTTACAAGGCCGAGGATTGATTACAGTGCAACGAATTGCCCATATAGAAAAATGGACGAAGTGTTAGTTATAGCAAAAATTTGTCCCCCCCCCCCCTCCCTCCCGCCCCCTCCCCTCTTCTAATCATAATAATCATAATAATAATAATTATATATATATTTTCTTCTTTATTTCTTTGTTATTTCGTCGGATAGCTATTATAGACTCTCTCTTCGATCATTTTCACAAAAAATTCAACACGATCACGGCTTCTTCGATCGTCGTAGCGATCACTGTCGTCGTCTGTGCAAATGTGTGTTTGATTTTGGAAAAAATATTTGTATACAAGTTTTTACAAGAGTCATACGCATACGGTAATTGGAAAAAACATGTACATACGATTATATCATTTATATTCAGGATCATCTGATTATCAAATGAGAAGAGATCAGAGGATTAATCCTAGAAAAGCCGAAAAAAGAAAGGAGTTTCGTTTATTTGATTAAGACCGACGACTCGTGTCGCGACGCGGTTTTCATTTTAGAATAACAGCGCGATATAGTCAATTTATTGCGATGTAGCTGATATATATATATACACACACACATACACACACACACATTTCGATTTCGTGGTCGTATATGTAATAATGATATCAGCTACATATATAAAATCGTAATATCACATGTTTATATCTGTTTCTCTTCTTTCTAAATCTTGGGCGCTCCTCGACAGTTTCATCGCCGATGTACTACAATTTCTTCCTCAGTTACCGATTGAACGCGAGAGGGTTTTGTCGTTGCATCGTCGGTAATGTAGATCGATCCACATGGAAACTCGTCGTCCCTGTTCGAACGAGTCGAATTTTTCTCTTGAACTTAATTTTTATAAAGTTTTTATTTAGTAAAAGTCTGCTGTATAGCAATCTGTGTAAAAATTTATGGAAAAAGAAAAAAAAAATGGAATGCTCCTCCCATTGGGAATCGAACTCTGGTCTCCCGCGTTGTAGGCAACCACCTTGTACCCAACATTAGAACGTAATCGTGAAACCTAACCCTTCCCTTTAATGCTCACGCGATATCGCGTGTTGGGACTAGTTTATAAGGTAATCGCTTACAACGCGGAATTTATAGTACGTGCAAGTTATAAATTACTCAAAAAAATCACACCGTTTTCCGGTGGATACTCAGAGCCAATACGAAGGTTGAGAATGTTCGGTTGTACGTGTATAAGAGGATGAAAAATTTATCAGTCTTTAGCGTTTTAAAAAGTTGAAAGATGTACTGTTGACAGAGTAATTGAACAGGGACGAAGGAAACGTGCGCGAAAAGAGAAACTCTTAGGTTTCGATAATTCGAACAACGTGATCGATCGATCGATCGATCGATACCACGATCGAACGGACTAGAAACGTTTTTAACCACGCGTTCTTCAGCACTTTTAACGTTTCTTGTTAAAAGTATAGAAACTACGATAGAGCCAGCTATATCGTATCCGTCGCTAAAAACCTAATTAACAAATTCCTCATAACTGTTCGATAATTCATTACTTTTTCTTTTTTTCCTTCTTTATATATATATATCCATCTCCTCGTTTTAACATGAGATTATAACTATATTTTTCGCTCGCATTCTCAAACATACTCACTCACTTTACATTCACTCGCTATCGTCTCTGCGCTTTTTTGCATAATATTTATAATATTTACACGGATCGATGTTTATGTCAGCGCGTTTGCAACGTTCATGAATTATCTCTTTCCTTCGTTCTTTCGTTGTTGACATATTAGAACTGCTTCTTTCTTTATCAATTTTGTTTTTTAAGAATCGCTAATTGAACGCCAATTATCTCCATCCCATTTGCACCGTGTAAAATGATACGTTCGCGTCGCTTTACGCCAGGGTTCTCTACGGTTCAGCTTAAGCTAACGAAATATACCTATAGCCTTAATCGATTAATCGCGTCGATCTATATGCGAGATCAATACTTTCCATCTTTGATTGTCCTTCAGAATTGTGTGTATACATATATATGTTGTTGTTGTTTGTTATTCCAGTGGTTAACAAGCGACAGCAACGCAACAAAATGTACTCCCGGTTCTTTCATGATGGATGCTTGCGAATGGAAATTGTCTGTTTTCTGAAAAGCTGCGTTGGAAGTCGAGAAAGAGACGAAAAGAATCATTTTAACGCGCTAACTGTTTAAAAAATTATTCTTTTCTTTTTTTAGGTTCAAATAAATTAGACTCAAGTTGATCAATTTGTTAAGTATCCCTATAGAGACGTTCATTTCTATACAGAAATCATTTGAACTGCATAACTCACAGGCAGCTATCTATTACATAAATCGATAAATGTCAATAGTAAAAAAAAAAAAAATCAATTGCAGTTAACGCGTTAACGTGATGCACTCTCGCAAACGCGCTGCCACGAACACGCGCGCCGTATTTCTTATTTACGAGTACTTATATACACGTGACCGTAGTTACAAGAGATATATACACCTAATATTGCTGTTTGGCTTCCGTGAATGCCACCATACGCGGGATTAGGTCATGTTTTCAACGTAACAAAGTAGAGAATCTTTGGATCGCGAGTAGGGTGGTCGCGTAGACACATGGGCTCTCGTTCAGGACAGTGCTGTCCATGAGAGGGTTTCATTTTTCTTAGGCTCATAGTAAATCAGGTAGATAGGGAACAAGGGATTTTCTGATTTGATGAACACCTCCTAAAGTCCCCCGTGGACAGCACCGATCCAAGAGAATATTTTGCTTCGATACTGCGGGGAATCTCAGAAGATTGCCTCTGAGAACCGTAAATCTATCGCACGCTTCTGCAATTTTAACTGAGATCCCCTAAGATGCGTGTAAACCTACAATTATAGTATGTGTATCTGTATGTGTCTGTGTTTGTGTGTATCTTAGTTGTAGAACGTGAGTATTCTGAATAGTTTCTTTCTCTCGTTTAACGTTCGATGTCTCGAAGAAGCCGTCGCAAGCAGTTAATTCGATATATGTACTTGGTTTCTTTACCGCGTGATTTGGCCATGCAAAAATATGCCAGATTTTAGTAGCCGGAGATTTCATCTCCTCCATTTTCTTCTTCGTCATCATCAACATCTTCTTCTTCTTCTTCTTCTTCTCCTTCTTTGTTGCTTTTTTTTACATTCGACGATACGCTGCTAGTACTTTTCAATTATTTTAGGTTCCGACGACCTTCGATGAAGCTCGCTGAAGACCATACGCGAAGCGAGTAGCGAAAATGCAGCGTGTACTTAAACGTACGCGGTGAACTTAACCAATAATACGATTTATTTATTTAATCGTTCGTCGACTTTATCACTTCGTTGAAAAACAATGTTCGGTGAAACAGTCTGCTCGAGGATACACCATTTCGACGAGAACGAGTTCTTCTACGGCACTCTTCTTCGTTGTTTCATCCTTTCCAGAATACTTTTCCTTAGATCGATACTTTCGGCGAACAACTAAGACCTTGGTAAGGCAATTATTTTGGTTGAAAAAACATCAGAATCAAATTCTTTCTTGTTCCATCGAATATCAAATATTCTGTAATCTCGTTCTTCGCTGTTTCACGCGTGGATATCCTCAGGGCAGATACGCTGAGACGATCGTTCGGAGCCGCAAGAACTTTCACAAGTACTCCCTGGTCCTGGGCGGAGGCCTCTTCCTGTCCGACCTGTCGCTCCTGTCAGTGGTGACGGTGCTTTGCTCCCTATCGTCGGTGCACTCGAGCATCTGCGTGGTTTCTGTCGCTTCGGACGGGCTAATAGGCTGGGTGGCAAGGGGCGCTAACGGTGCAGCGCCCTTGTTCCGCGACTTGCTCCGCCGTTTCCTCAGAATCAACGGTCCGAGGGAAGTCGAGTCGTCTCCTCGAGAGGTGGACGCCTGGGCGAGCCTTTCGAGCAACTCTTTGCTCACGTCTCTGGGCGAGCTCTTGTAATCCGTTTCTTTCAGCCTGTCCGATTGTTGCTGCGACTGATGGTGATGATGGTGATGATGATGGTGTTCCTGAGACTTGGAGCTTCGCTCGGTCGCGGTGCCTTGCTCCCTGTAGCTCTCTGTACACGTGGTGGACGTCGAGGTGGTCGCTAACGACACCTTCTGCTCGCTCGTCTGCGTCCCTTGAGAGCCTTGCTGACAACTGGACGAACTTTGCGACTGACCGGATTGACCCTGAGACGAACCACCGCCCCCGCCTGGTCCTAAGCTGTTCGAACTCTTCTGTTGTTGCGCGTTGCACGCTGGCAACCGGCTCATCAACGTCTGCATCATATCCTCGATCTTGGCCAATCGTTGATTCACCCGTTGCACCTCCAGCTTTAAGTCCACTTTCACCTCGAGCACCGCGGCGAGGATCTCGCGTTCGTGGCTCGGCTGCGTGGTAATCAATCCGTCGTCGTAACTCTCCAAACGACGAAGCTGCAGCTGCTTCGAGTCGACTGTGCTTTGCTGCTGTTGTTGCTGCTGTTGCTGTTGGCCACCGTCCTTCCCGCTCTCTGCGTCCCCCGCCTCTTCGATGGTACCGCTCAGTTTGCCGAACTTTGGGAATATCTTGTTACCACCGGCGCTTGATCCTGCACGCGCATCCCTAGCGCTCAGGGACCGTTTAAACGTGTCCACGCCGGTCCCTGCCTCGCTACCGGAGTCTAGGCTCGAGCTCCCTAAACGAAACGTTTCGTTAGCCATCTTCAACCCTGTCACATCTATTAATTCAATCGCGATTTTACCTAACAGTCGTCCCCACTTTCCCGGTCGCGTCTTCACGGCAGTGGTCTCCTCCGCTGTGGAGAGTTTTCTAGTATGCGACGATTCTCCCTCTTTTCCATCCTTTCCCTCTTTACCGTCTCCTTTCTCCACGTCAGCAGTGTGTCTCTCCCTGCGGAATCTGTGTAGAAAAAAAAAAAAATGTCGAGAGCGAGAACGCTCATCTTTAGTATCGAAAGAGATGGTCACAGGACTATTTACATTACGGGGTTAAAGGTCGGTTTCACTAGGCGACTGATCGAGTAAGTAAGGGGATAATAATAAAATACATGGTGTATACAAGTCGTGGGGTTTTGGGAGTTGCTTGCCGAAAGTTTCACTCTGGCTCGGTGAAACTTTTCGCTTTCCCTTTTCTCTGATCAGAGAGCATTCGTTCTGCGTCATTACAGTGTGTTCATTTTTTTTTTTTTTCTTTTTTGAGATGGGGATTTGCTCTTTCTTTTTTTCTTTTTTGTAGGGATGAGGGTGAAGAGTTGTTTCATTTTTTGTGGTTTTTGGTAGCAAATGAGTCAAGTTCGTTCTACTGAGGCTTAGAAAAAGGGAGACAGCTCCAGCGGTGTTCACGAGCAACCTACTTTGGTGTGCCTACAGGATTCGAAAGAAAGTATTCTTAGTGGTGATAAAAATGCCGATAAAACATACGGGAAAATTTGGCCTGCGTCGATGAACCACTACTTAAATATTTAGAAATTATCGATACTATCTTTGAAAATAATACTCTACAGTTCCTACCACCACGTGTATTAACTTATTCAAATACAGGTTCATCGACGCAACGTTCGATGATACAGTTGTAAATGGTAACGAGCTGCTTGATCAACTTTAGGAATGCCATTTTAACATTCAAACCATAACTAGAAAAAGTTCTAAATACATATTTAAACGCCTCTTTCGTTTCCCGGTTTCTAATGCAAATCGATGGAAGAAAACAAAACACGCTATTAGTATCTATCATGCATGTAACATGCTACACGATCGAGGCTTCTACAAGATTGATATCGCTGTTCCTTGGCAGTCTGGCTGTTTTTCAAGCAGCTACTTGGCATCGTTATATATACATATATGTATGTATATACGTATAAAGAATACAGGGTGTTTCAAAAGGTTTGTACACCTTGAAAGTTACAGATCCTTCGTGGCGAAACGAATGAAAAATTTCATTACCATTTTATAAAATTCTTCCATTCGTTTTGCTACGAAGAATTTGCAGCTTCCACAGTGTACGAGGATTTTGAGACATTCTGTACACGTAAGTACAGGTGACAAAGAGAAATTTGAATCCTAGAGTGTGTACGTCACATGCATTCGGCGTTGCATAAAATCGTAAAAGGATCGGATGCTCGAGCCACGTCGAGGACTCTGCTATAACTTTCGCTTTGGACAATCAACATTTTGGAAAACTAACAAAAAAAAAATATGGTAGTAAAAGATCAGTGAAAGAGACGAAGAGTCCTCGAGTCTGCTCTACGCAATCCTGGTTTCGCAAAAAAAATGTACATATGTATATATGTATATGTATATGTAGATATACATATACAATATATGGTGGGAGAAAGATGCGCATAACCCTCTAAAGCCGTATATCTTACAGCACTCTAGCATTCGTCAGAACTGCAGTGATCGTCAAAAATGGCAAAGTTTGTAATGGCACCGAGGTTTCAATGTGTACGCACCTGAATAAGATGCGGCTTCCAGGCAAACGGAGCTCAATAACTTACACGTTTGTTCGTACGTTATTTAATATTGACAGAAACGAGTGAACCGAGTAGCGGACGGTTAATTTCTTCTATACTTTTCCTTGAACCTGATTTACATTGGTAGAGTACATCGATGCTAGTAGGAAAATCCGTTGACTATACTCGTTTCATTGATGGAGTGAAATAGTACCGTGGTAGATTAACTTTTACAGTGAATGTTGTATTGCTAGAGTATACTAGCAGTACTACATTGGAATGGTGAGGAGAAGGCTACTAGCAGGTAGAGTATACTAGCGCTAGTACATTGGAGTGGTGAATGAAAGCTAGTGGTAGATTTACTTTACCACGGTGCTATCCCACGATTGGTTTCGGTATAGTAATCAGACTTTCTCTACTAACGCTAGTATACTACTTTAACCCTTTCGCTTCTACGCGAATTTTTGAACTTGCACCAGTGGGCCAGAAATGTCATATTAAAAATTTTATAATGGCAAAGAACTGCGAAATGTATTAAAATAACGGTACAATCTTGCCAATAGAACATTTTTCTTAGTGGTGGTCACCGGTGACCACCATGGCCCAAATGAAAAGACAAGCGCCGGTCCCATGGGACCACCGCACCGTGGCAGCGAAAGGGTTAACAATGTAACTCAGGCTCGCCACCTTTTCATTGTCAGCCATTAACCTTCTCCCATCACTTCAGTGTACTAGAGCTACTATAATCTACCATTACATACATGTATAAAGTAAGCCTTACGGGGCCTTCTTACACGAGTATGGTAAATGGATTTTTCCTACTAGCCTTGCTTACTCTACCATTTGCTCTACCAATGTTAACGTGACTTTACTAGGAGATGCCTTCATTGCACGCGACAATATGTATGTATCAGTCATTTTTCCTGGCTACAGGAATGATTGAATTTCAAATACGAGGCTCGATTTGCCTGGGCTGTTTCGAAGACGTGCTAAAGTGAGATTACGTATTCAGTTTCTCTTTCAAGCGTGTGTACAGCGATTGCACATCCGTGTGATACCCTTCGAACGTCGCAATTTCTCGAGATGCACTTATCGTTACTCTCGTTGGAGCGAGTTTCAAACACGAGACGAGAAGAACAAGAAGAAGAGGAAGAAGAAGATGAGGAAATAATAGAAAAATATTTGTCAAAAGATATAACGTAAAAAGATTCGCACACGTTCCATCGTCGCTTACGTATTTCCGGTAATGATCGCGGGATAAGAAAAAATCTCTCTCTCAATCTCTCTCTCTCGTGGTTTGAAAATGTTTCGGCTAAATTCGCAGCTACGCATATACAGAATCGACGCGTCCAGTATTATATACACGTATATAATTATGATGTATAATAATATTCGGATGTATATTTACATCAGTGTACAAGGGGGTTTCAAAATAAAAGATCACGTACACTGTGAAAAATTCGCATTTTTCACAGTGCACATACGTTTTGATACAACCTGTACAATGATGTAAACATACAGGGCATTTCAAAGTTAAATGATCAAACCCTCAGTGTTGTTCTATGAGTGGAAATACGAGTTTGTTAAACAATATGCAACATTTGAACAAGAAGAATATCATCAATCTAATTTTACACAACGTTCCTTCTCTTTCCCTTTTCTTTTCGCTCATAGGACACACGAGGTTTGTATCGTGTAACAGTGAAACGCTCTACAAAGAGAAAAAACGAAATCACAGCTTGAGAGTTAATAATAATATAAAATATAACGATATACAATAATAAATAACGTATGGGTAATAATCATAATGAGAAGAATCATAATCGAATCAATAAATATAGTTAATATAATTAATCATAATAAAGTGTGTACGTAAGAAGTAGCAGAGATGGCAATAAAAAAGAATGAAGAAGATAAATAAATACGTAAGAAATGAAATTGCCTAAAACTGGGCCAGGGCGGCAGGACGTTCACGGTGAGCTCCTCGTCGGAATCCTGTTGGGACCGTCCGTTCGCGGCCCTAGTCGCGCCAATCTGGGCATCCCCGTCGGTCTTGAACCTTTACGGACAACAGGCCAGCCAAGCAACGATCAACAATCAACAATCAACAATTTACCAGAGATACGAAAGGAATTGTACATAATTTGTGCCACGTGATCGCCTCTCGCTGACGTCACACAATTTCTGCTTTCTCTCTTTTTTTTTTGTATTTTTTTTTTTCACTTTCTCTCACACACTCATGCTCTTGCTCACTTTACTTAACATTAACATGTTATTATTTTATGATTCAAACGTTAATGATTGCCTCGTATTTAGTGATTAACATTTGAATCGTGTCTGTATGTTACACACGTATACTCTTCTTAGCAAAACACCCTTATCAGCCAAATTATATTACTCTTCTTTACTTTTCTTCTTTCAGAAGAGTATACGAACGTATAGAAAGTAGAATGCAGTCAGTACCCGTTTGATTTCATTCAACTTGTCTGAACGTTCATTCTGCTTCATTCTTTCTTCATTCTCTCTCTCTCTTTCTCTAAAATTTTCTTTTTACTGAGATTTCTATTAAAAAAAAAATAAAGTTGTGTGTATCGTCAGCTTGTGGATCTGTAAAGACACAGAGACCAGATGTTTGTTTGGTCTTCCATACAACAGTGGAGAATTCTAGGCTGGATGATTGGTTAATCGTTTATGAAGTTGTATATTCGTTCGTAAATTCATGAAATTTATGGTATATTTCTCTCGAATCAAAACCAGCGACAAACATATTCCCATCTTATTTCAGCTCCAATTCAGATCCTAATATTCCTGCATTATAAAGAAGAAAAAAGAAAAATAAATATTAATATAAAATTCTTTTTACGAACGAATATTTAAATGCCTAAAAAATTCAAATTAGCGATAAATTTAAAATTGATTTCCTCCGGTATGCCCCTATCGGAAGATAAAAGAATCACAAGTACGTGCCATTGAATGCTTTATAACCTTTCGTTATTCTTATAATAATTCTTTAATAATTTATAGAGACGGAGGCATACCGGAAGAAATAATAGTTAAAAAATGGAATGGATTCGACGACATCCATTCGAGGGGAATGAGCAATAAATCTGTCCCTACCTCGAGAAAATTTTTCGCACTAGATGATCCTGTGCTTGATCCAACTGAGGCTCATTTTTCCTTCTCTCGGCCAACTCTTTCTCTCGACGAACGTCAGCCACTTTTCGAAATATTAGCTGTGAAAAATATTTTTAATTTCATATAGAACATTTTTTATAATTCACAATTAAACGAATTAATTGGAGTGATTGATGCAAAGTATTCGCAAACGAACGGATATGTTTTATTTACGGGGTCCGGAACAATTATTTCTGCCCTCGAGTTCCTTCTTCGCTATTATTAATTGTTTCATAGCGCGTCAAACCTTCTATCGGTTTTTCCACCCTACGTGCTTAGGAATGTAGGTGAGCATTATTCGGTTAATTGTTGAGCGTTAATAATTATTTTGACATGGGTTGAGTTAAAGTGACGCTAAACGATAAAATGTAAGTATATTTGAACAACCTCTTAAAACTCCATCTAGTATTTGAACCTTTTGCTTCATTATTCCTAATAAAAAAGAAAAATAACTTGAAGTAATGCTTTCAATGATTTAGTGTTTAAATATTTTGTTTTTAGCAAATTGTGGTTAATTTGAACGACAGAATTTTGTCAGCAATGCTGAAGAACATTGCTTCCTTTTTGTGATCGAAAAATTAAGATAGAGGGGATTCCCCTGCCTATATATTTCAGCTGCGCATGCGCGTAAGCAGCAGTCGATAGGCGCACTGTTAGCAGACTACCCGTACTCGACTAACCTCAAAATATTTTATTTATCAAGAAGGTTGCGGACCGGTCTCCGACGAGTTCCGTCCTGGAACTTCGTCTCGGATGAATCGTGAAAGGTTTTAAAAATAAAAAAGTACGCGGTCCAACGCGTACTTTTACCGTCGTGATTCGTTTCGAATCGAAGTTATAGGTGAAACAGGCAAAGTGTATGGATTGTGGTGCAAAGCGTTCCTCGCGTTCGAAAGGTTTGGCTAATAATATTTTTCTCGAAGAACGCTTGCTTTTTCAGTCACGATTATTGCATCGATTAATCGAATTATTTCAGATGGGTCATGGTACGAGCCGTTCCGCATCCTCTGCGAATATACTTTCCGCGGACGAGCTGACCTTAGTGGAGAATTTGTTCAAGTCCATGTCCCGTAGTTCTGGTTCCATAAAACGCGAAGACATATTTAAGCACTGGTCATCCCATTTAGACGACGTATTATTGCAATTTGTGGTAAGATTCCTATGTCACGAACCCGGAAAGAGAGTATCTACTATCAATGGAGAGAATTTTGGACGGTTATACGTGTTTGCCGTTCGTGGTAGTCCAGAGGAGAGAACTAGTTTAATTTTCAATGGTTTCTCAGAAGAGGAACAGAAACATGAAATACCCACCAGTGCGTTCCTTCAATATGTACAAGCTACTATAAATTCTTATTTAAAACTGCAGAAGAGTTCTGGAAATGCCCATTATCTAACTTGGAGCAGTATTGGCTGTACAGTAAATACCAGGAGAATAGGAATGCGTTCTAGAAGTCTGTGCGAAGATCTGGTTAAGCACAGTGACTCTTTAACCATAGATCAAATTGAAAATTGGTTCTCCATGGCTGGTACGTTCAAGGTGATTCAGTCGCACGTCTTCCAGTGCCTTTTCTTGGTCTCCCAGAAGAAAGGAGACAAGAACACCAGTGCTAGAATAAACGATTTGAACCTTCTACCGATCTGCAGAGGTTTAGAAAATATACCACATTTCCCTAGTATTCTCGGGCTGGGCGACGTTCTATTCTTGAATCTAAGCTTGCCTCAAGAAGTTCGCAACGAATGGAGATTCTTGTTCTCCAGTCAAGTTCATGGAGAATCATTTTCCACTATGCTAGGAAGAATTACTATGCAAGGAGCCACGATCATGATACTTCAAGATACGGACGACCACGTATTCGGTGGTTTCGCTTCAGACAGTTGGGCGATCGGGCCAAATTTCATAGGAAATCAAACTTCTTTTCTCTTCAAATTAGAACCAGACATATTAACGTTTTCCTCGTCCGGTTACAACAATCATTACCAGTATCTGAATCTTCATCAACAAACTATGCCTAACGGTTTGCTGATGGGCGGCCAACTAAATTACCCTGGTCTCTGGCTAGATTGGGAGTACGGGAATGGTAAATCCAGCGTATCGTGTACGACCTTCCAGAACTACGTACAACTCAGTGGCAAAGAAAACTTCAAGATCAAACACTGCGAGGTATGGGGTGTAGGCCCAATTCCAGAGGTAGAAGAAGACTTGCGTGATTCGAGATCGGTTCTGGATCAAGATTCCACCTCGAAAGTTATGTTGCAATTGGCTGGACGAAAGATGTACAGCGAGGATTTGAAGGAGGTGAAAGAGTAGTTGCGATACCAGAGATTCGCATGAAACTACAACTATCTGTCAGGCTATTTCAAGTATACCAACAGCTTCCTAGAACAAGAGTCATTGTAAAACAGTATCTGTAATGCGATGAGATAAAAATAATAACGATCGTAGATTTACGTTTGTACTTATAATTTCGTTTCTAAACGGCTAAATAGAAACAATCGGTTATGAATTACACGAACGATCGTCATCGTCATCGTCAGCAAATGATAAAATTAAATTGCGTTTCGTAAGCTTCTTGTATACTAACACGTTTCTTTCCACCTGCCTCGACTGTTAATTTAATCGAAAAGAAAGTTTCACATATCCTCTGCAACGGCCTGTCATATCAATCATATCTACGACTTTAGTCTGCCATGTAACGCTACCTACGAACACCATGTCGCGATATTTAACAAACAGATATACATAATATCGTACGAGTTGCTGTGTCTTTTGAATGCCTATTATCTAGTGCCTGGTGAGTCATCAATCATTTTTAATCAGAGTTCTTGATAACCTGATCAAACTCTATCGATGAAACGTACAACATGGATTGCTACCATTGTTATATAAGACTATATGGATGTATGTATGTATGGATGTGCGCGCGGATGTATGTTATTGGTATTTGAATTCACGCAAACGGGTTGGTTGCGTCGTCGACGAAAGAAACCCAAGGGAAAAACACCGCATTGTTATTCGGTATGTTAAGAGTTCAATAAAGAATTGAAACCTTAGCCAAGACTCTCTTTATTGTTTGGAAAGAGGAATGATTGCTCAAGGGTGGGACACTTAAAATTTCATAGGAAACAACACATGGGCCAAAGAGGACCTTGAGCAATCAGCAAATTAGCCAACTGTAATTAAATAACGTTCTTACCCGGTGGCTTAGGTTGTAAGTTAGTACGAGGTTCCTGGCGAAAGAGTTTGCGAAAGCTTGGTAAAAATCCAACACTTCCAACAGTCGATCCCTCTTGATAGTATGAAGGTCGCAGTAGGTCAGAGCCCGTACATTGGCCGCGCTTTGTCCCACGGACGGATTCGTCCAGAAGCTGTCTCCGAAGACGTCTCCCTTTCCAAGAATCGCCACCACCTCGTCGTCCTGGATCACTTCGAGGCTCCCGGTCACGATGAAGCACAACGAATCGATTGACTCGCCTGTGTGATAAAGTAAATCGCCGGGCGCACTGTGCGACATTGTAAAGTGCATCGCCAGTGCGCGCAGGCAACCGTCAGAGGCCAACCTAAGAAACAGTAATCGTATTACACGGGTTAGCTGTTTAATTAATCAAGTAGGTTAAAGTAGCGGATACCGCTTACCTGAACGCTGGGTGTTCGTTGAAGACTTTCCTGTTTAGATGAACACAGATGTCCGCTTTCATGTCTTTTGGGCAGTAGTTGAGTACCTTGTCAGTGTCTAGGCCCTTGGTCATCGCCCAGGTGCTCACCACGTAGTCCATCACCCGTTCGCTTAGCGCTTTCGGCACCTCGTGCAACTTCATGAATTCTCTCACGTTGTTCAGCATGTCGTGATACTTGGCGGTGGCGGATGTCATCTGTTGGATTATCGTGGTGACGTGACCAAAGATCGTTGCGTACAGTAGGGCTGTAGGCATACAAACATATTGCCTAATGAGAACTCTGGGTGCTAAGCGCCTGGTGGGTGTAGTCGCTACCCTACTCAAGTTAGCTTGTTAGCCCTAGACAAAAATTCCTTACACGCCGACAATGAGTCAAGTGTTGGCTCTTCCGTACCCGTACGACGATTGGCAAGCCCATGAGTGAAATTTTTACCAACCCCGCGCCACCTGGGTTTTAGCGCAATTTGTGCCCTTTAACACCGCCGTTATAAGCGATAGCTTGGGTACGACAGAGCGGGTTATCAACACACCAAGGCACACATTCGACAATAACCTGTCTAATGAGAACTCAACTTCTACCTACGATATTTTAATCGTCATAGTATAGAATATTTTACCAGCGATGATCATCATGCAGATGGTGAAGATTTTCTCGTTGTCGGTTTCCGCGGCAACGTTCCCGAAACCCACGGAGGTCATGCAGGTCATCGTAAAGTAGAGGGCGGTGACGTACATGGTCCTCCTGGACGGTCCTGCGACCAGTTCCGGTGCAGTGCTGGTATTGGTCCACAGATAGCTGTACGGTGACTGGGTGACGTTGGCCAGCTTCCACAGCCAGGAATACTGGACCCCGTTGTCGGCATCCGACCTCCCTATCGAGTACCTTTAACGCAACAACACTTTTTATCTGGATGGAATTTCGTCGATAAAAACAGCCTCTAGGTTAGAGAATGAAGGATGACAGGGTACACTATCGAGACGCGTGAGGAAAGCTCGCTTCATGCTCTTTTTTCATCCACTAATCGCGCGTTAAGCGTTTCTTTTTTTTTCTGTATCTTTTTCACCTCTGTCCTTTTACACTTCTCTTTTGTCTTCCCGACAATCTCCGAGAAAGATCACGATCAAATACTCGAAGCGTGATACCTTTGGAAACGAAGAGGTTTGCCAACTTAACGTAATAACGATGAAAGAGACCGACCGCCGTTATTACGTTCCGTCTTTCGTCTGTTCGACGTCCGACGACAAAAGGGAAAGATTCTTTGTCGAAGAAAAGGGCAGAACGTTAGCATCGTCGAGACTTTCATTCTCAAAGATAGCGTTGATCTCGAGCAGCTACTTCATTCATGCCGCTTCGCGAGCAAGCAGCGAAAATAATTAAGAAGCCGCTCTAAAAGAACTAGACAGCGTTTTAAATGCAACGTTTCTTCTCGCTTTAATAGCGAGATAAGTCGATCCTTCTTTCCTGACTCTCGGAACCAGAGTCACGTAAATTAAGTGGGCATCTGTAACATTCTAAAAGCTGCGGCAAACTGGTTTCTATCGAAAGAACAAAATTAATTTGAAAGATTTGAAAGAAAGAAAAAAGGAAGACACTTCGGATTGCCTCCGATTAGAATAAGAGAGTTTAAAGCTGTTGAAAAGCAGCAACGCGTGTTTTATGTACAGGTGTGTATGTGTGTGTGTATGTACGTTTGCGTGTTTGACGTGTTGTAGGGTTAACGGTGAATCAAAAGGATGGAATGACGTCGAGGAAGCCGTCAATCCTGCCGCAGCCGTGTTACCTTTCAGTGTGTGGGCAGGGTAAAATCACCTTAAAGTGACGTACCAGACACAGGCCAGCCAGTGAGCAACCAACATGTAGAAACAGAGCAGAAGAATGAGCATCGCGGCTCCATACTCCAGATACCGGTCTAGTTTCCGAACTACCCGACCCAGACGAAGCAGACGCACCACCTTCAGAGCGGAGAACAAGCTACCTATACCGTCCTCGTCGTGATCGAACGCGTTAAACACGTCGTATGGAAGGCAACTTAGAAGGTCGATGATGAACCATGATTTCAGGTAGTTCATTCTGATCACCTGCAACAAAGGTAAATCGAAACGTTACATCCTGCTGATCAATTTTTCACTTATGATCCTTCATTTCTACTTGATCACCGTGCTGTTTGTACCTTTGGGTCAGACACCACCTCGCCACCGGGACCGACGAAGGTCGTGTGAAAATTTAGGACAATGTCGATGAAGAATATGACGTCGACGATACTGTCGACGACTAACAGAGACACATCCTCGCTGGTCTTGTTTTTGAAGGCTACGTTGTATGGTACCATGATGGCCGTGTAAAAGGTCAAACACAAAATGATCCAATCCCAGATTGCCTTGAACGCGCAGTAATGTAACAAAATGTGCGGCGGAGTTTTCGGCGCCTCTTGTCTGTACTGCGGCATAACGTCGCCGCTTAAGGACATCATCTGAAAATTCGCATCAATCGTTGCAGTGTTAAATGTAAATTTGTAATTTTCATTTAAATTGATAATAAACTTACATGAGCTAAATGCGATTGTTTGGTGGTGGTTGGTAACGCGGAATCCTTCAGGGCAGGCAGATGGGAGCTGAACTGTGAGACAAGAACGGATCTGGACCTGGTGACCGATCTGGCTAACTTGGCGAACTTCGAGAGGCCACCTTTGGTGTCGTCCGTATCGATTGGCTGCTTCAGGGCAGTGATGTCCCGGAAAGTCAACAGGAACAGGACCACCAGGTCCCGTTCGTTTTTTATTGGCGCTATTTGCAGAAGCAGCCATAGTGGTGTTTCTGTGCATCAGGTGAAATCAGACACTCTATTATTCACTGGGAAACCAATCGGCATAAGGCTAACCTATCATCAGCTAATTGATACAATATGGTAATCAACTTTGATTAGCTGTTCGGGTATTCGTACAGTGAATATTTTACTCAACTCCCTGCAGGAAGGAATTATTCATTTGTACACTTCAATTGTCTTTGAAGACTAAAATTCTTCAGAATTACAAACGTGTTCAGAAATTTCATGGGAAGATCCCCTAAATCCTTCCTGATCCTTCCTGCAAGGTAAATTATCCTTATCTATCGTGCTACGAACATTAAAGCAATTGTTATCAGGCAAATGAGTAGCGCAAAGAAAATATTAAATATGGTTTACACTTATGGCGATGCATAAACACATTGGATAAACCAGCTGATTGAGCAAAGCGATATAATTCCATAGGAAGATTTTCTTCACTACAGAAGAGTGAACTCATGCCACCATGCAAATGAGTATCGCGTGTGTTGGGTGTGAAACACAGAAAAAATCTTTTTTTTCTGTGAATATTCATATTCTTTTTCTTTTGCAAGATATTTTTGATTTTGTGAAAAATTGAAGCGGTGCTCGATTACGATTGCGAATAGAAAAACTAGATTATGGAATAGTGAAATTGGTGATATAGATTGAAAGAGAAAAATTGGTTGCAGAAAATGTGTCTGACGCGTTCAGAGGATTTTTCAACCCAGTGCTGGGGGTCCTATTTGGATTTAGAAATACTACTTTCATTTTATTTACAACAGTACTGTTTGGGATATTAACTCGGTCAAAGGTTTAAATAATTGTCGTATCGAGGTTTTTGGGAGGTATCGAGGAATTTATGTGTAAATTGATAAACTGTGTTTGAATATGCAATTTCGTTAATTATCATGTAAAATAATCAATTATCCCCCATATTGCACCCCTTGATATTATGCAAAATATTTTTAAGGTGATTCACCCTGTACAGAATTTTAATTATACAATTACTTTACTACCACTGGATTACCAATGAACCATTCAAAATGAAGGAAAACAATTCTGAATAGCTCTAAAATTACGTACACTAATGATTCTACCGTGTCAGTCAATTCTACTGGTTAAGAGTTAATCGAGGGTGGCTGGGTATGAGCGGGTAGCTTTGGGTTATCAGAATTTGTAATCCCATTTTCGACGCGATTTCCTTTACTCGAATATACAGGGTGTCTCAAAAAGATTGTGCACCACAAATGTGAATTTTAATAAAAATACTTCCATCTATTGTACTTATTTTCTGTCAAGCTACAACTTGCCTACAGACATGTACAAATAGGAATATGTTTACGAGTGTGTTCAAAGTGACAAAGACACTGGTGATTACTCGGCCAACGCCTGCTCTCATCGTTAATTTTCATATTCTCAACATCAACTTCAATAAAGACGAAACATACGAATAAGATACATTGCGCTTGCATACGTACTCGGCGAACGCTGTTTCGCTGATAAAATGTATTCCCTGAAGTGTTGAAAAATTTAAAAATATAAAAATATAAAAATTCGAAAAATCGTGGTGCAAAAAGCACGCGTTGTTCGCCGAGCTGGCAACGGTACATCTGCAAGACAGCTGATGTATATACGTGTGTCTAGAGTACTTAATTAGGAATTGATTTGGGAAAAAATTAACTGAAATCAAGAGTAGGTGGGAGGTCGAATAGTGTCCTCTCATTATGGCCGCCCCTTGGTCCCGGGATCGTTCGACGATCCTTGTAAGTGTGTCGCCTCTTGTTCAGGCTAGATATGGGAGTGTATAATAATCGTATACAGTACCTTCAATTTGTACATTTACATGTATATTTCTTAACATATGTATAATATAAGCACAGAGTCTTTCCACATTAAACTGTGTCAAATTCTGTCAATCTATTCTGTCAATACGAGCACGATAAACATATTCGATTCGTTTTGTCATCAATTATGAACAAAGCTTTTTTAGAATAATATCGACGGAATATTTTTATCTTTTTCTTATTCACAGAACTCACAGACACAATCTGATTGTTTCATATGGAAACACTCTGTACATGTATGCATATATACGTGTATGTATATATATAATCATAAATTATATGGTGTTTGTATAGTTAGATTCGAGGGTGACTTACTGGTGGGTCTTTCGAGCACTCTTTTGCGAACCTGTGCTAGACATACCTCGTGGGGCACCTTTAAACAGAACGATCACACATTATTGGGCTCGATTGTCCGGTTAAGTGTTTGCACGGCCTAAATAGAAGAGACGGGTGTTTCTTTGCATAAAATCGTTATTTCGCAGATTACCCCTATCGATCGTTTCAAGATGTCCAAGTCGTCAGTTTGATTATAAATGATCGTGAATCGAACGCGAACGGATGATAATGTATAGTACGTTTGAAAAAAAAGAAAAACAGAAACGCACACGATAAAAATTGTACATTCCTCGTGGCAAAATTGGAATCGAGAATCATCCAACAATTTGTACTTACGTTCTTGATTCCAATCCCCTTTTACCATGGAAAGTTTCCAATTTTTATAACGACTACCTCTTTTCAACTGCTCTGTAGAACGCAGGAAAAAAAACTTGAAAAAAAAAATAGAGGGTATGAGAAACTTTGAAGCATCGTGATACAGAGAAAGAAGTACGAAGATGAGACGAGCGTAGATCAAACGTATGTATTCCTGACGCTCGTTACGTTGATACACGAAGCGAAGACTCAGGTGAATATCAGGCGTAACACCAACGCGTGACATTGACAAAAAAAAAAAAAAACATAAAATATGTAAAGTAAGACACGACACTCGAAGCCGAGAATCGATAATATAAACGAAGGCAGACAGTTCGATTTCGGTGGTCGGACCAACGTCGAGCATGCACAATGATACATCGTCTCGTGCCTCGAGGTCTTCTGTCAGAGGTAATTTCGTCGAGAATAGACGATTTCCTGTTTTCAGTTCGCCACATTTGTCAATCTGACGCCTTTCAAAACACGCTGAACAATTTTCATCCATGTATGTATCTACATATGTACGTACATAGTTAAGTACTACACAGATGGTTCTTAACGCAATAGAGAAACTATAATATTGTTAATCATCAAACAGGCATATGGCACGTTTGATTGTTGAGGATATCTTGATCGATATTAATTTGATAAAAATCGTCGATTCTGACAATGAAAGAAGCCACGAAGAACACCACACATTTAATTAAGCTTTCTCCCATGCCGCCCTTATCGTTCGTAGTACTTACTGTTCTTCTTGTACAGCAGGATCTCGAATTGATCGTGAATCTGGCCCTCGAGGCATTCCTCGATCCTGGCGATCGTCTCTTTGTCCGTCAACTCCCCGTACATGAATCCGCAGCGGCAGGACTTTTGCATAACCTGTTTTGGTACAATTCATATCGCGATGTTACCACGATTCGTGTCATTCTGATGCGACGATTTAATTTTATCCTTAGCCTGAAGGGGTTTAATTACAAAGAGGTAGAGAAAGGGGAATGGGAATGGAGAAATAGTAATTACTCGAAATCGCTGGACGGTAGAAACATTGGTAGTTTTCATGGGGTGCATTAACGGTGATGCGTGCGGGTAACACAGGAAACTAGATTAAAATTGGCGGGCCAGGTACGCTACCCTCGTGTAACGTACAATTACATTAAACCGATTATATCTTGGTGGACACTCGAGGATAATAGGATCAACGGTGTGATTTTCGCAAATGAAATTACCGTAGCTCGTAGGGTAGGAATGAAAAATCATGGATTGCGCTTGAAAAATAAAATATCTCAAATAAACATCGCGACAAATAATCCGAATAGATTAAAAGTAGAAATGGTAAGGTGTTTATTACCTCGGCACGATTATAGCCAGAGATTTTGCAAAAGCTTTCGTTGCAATAAACAATAGGGAAGTCGACGATCTGAGCGTTCGCCAGGAGAAAACTGCTGTCAGCTGTAAACAGAAAAAAAGAAATAATGTAAATTAGTCGAATATTTGCTGTTAATTTATAAAAACAGAAAAATTCTGCGATTAATTCTATTAAGTAAAGCAATGTTCGATGCGAGGGTAAGAGATGAAAAGGATTTCGCGGAAAGTTCGAATGAAAGAGTTGCTGGCAAGTCTGCAGATATTCTCTGTTGTTCTTTCTAGCCAGAAAGATGGAACAATTCTTTTTCCCCGTCGGTATCCAGCTGTTTCTTTATTATTGAAGTCACGACACGTTCTCGTGTTGCTCCATTTGTTTGTCAAAACACCGAGGCTCTATTATTCTATAACGGACTAACTCGTATCTCCGCGAGTTCTTCTTCTTTTATTCGCAGCATCTGTACGGCGCGGGGAACGTTTAATAATAAAACGTTGTTTCAGAAGTAGCGGTATGCCGCGCCGTTACGTTGCTGAAAAACGCAAGCCCAAAGGATATTTGTCGCCTATCCTATCGAAACGGTTTCTCTTGAAAAAAATATTGAAATCTATCAAAACTAGAGATAGAAATTGTTTTTTCTTTCTTCAATTGTTCCATCACGTTATATTTGAGGTGAGCAATATGGAAGAAAGAAGAAAGGAGCTGGCGCGACCTTGCTGGTTTTTCCTTGCATTTCCCTCGGCGTTTGTCATTTCTCTTGGAACGATAACGATAATCACGCGTACATGCACGCGCGAGTTAATTCGCTTTCTATGCACGCCAGGCGAACAAGCTTCGCCAATTTGCCAGTGTTTCCATGTTCCTGACCTCGGTCACTCGTTCGAAACAGGTCAAGGCCACGTGCTACGGCCTTAGGTGCACACCTCCACTGATCCTTTTGACTATCCAGTCGAAATCGACCTATTCTACCTTCGCCTCGTGAACCATCAACCAGCAGAGCTTTACTTCAATTAAGACATCTACGTGCACCGTCACATTCAAACTCAACGCGTTAAAGCTCTAATTATTAACCCTTTGAGTTCAGCGAAAGCTAACTGTGTGGACTAACGACGCATATATGTTCGAAAATAACTTTCTTGTATTATTTCATTTGACGTACAGGAATTACAATTGTAACTTACAATTAGTTGCGCCTTGCGTATTACATCAACATAGTTCATATTAGCAAAGAAAGTATCGCAACCGTAAGGTACGTGCCGTCCATACGAGCTGCTTCCGCCGGGAGTATTCGGTACTCAAAGGGTTTGTAGGCGTTTAGTGGAGGGGGAGAGTGGGTTTCGTCTCCCCGGACGCCTTTGGTTCGGGTCGGGGACCGCTAGGTGGCGGCGAGATGATCGGTGACAGTGTTCTCGCAAGCGGTCGCCCGGCATGCAGTCCAAACTGCGGTATGATAGGTGTCTGGGGCAGGGATCGTCGGTTGTCAGCCCCACTGACGAGTCTGACAGACGATCCCGAGACGAAACGCCTTTTTCTCCCCTCTTCTACAGGTTAAATTTTCTACCCTATATTACTGTTATTTTATTGCATCTACGAAGCGTCGCGATGCGTTGAATAACGCTTATCATTCACGCGATTGTTTATTAACAAGACTATTACCGGGTTAATAGATCAATTAGAATTGACGTCGCTTTTATAGTTTACGCATCAAGGCACAGGTCCACTACCTTCTCGTTCTTAACTCTCAAGGTCTAGAAATATCATAAAATGGCAATCAAGTCGGAGAAATATCGCGTTACCAATCGTCACGTTAGGTTTTTCATTGAGATATTATCGGGACTCGGTCGGTGGTGTTACGCGTGGCTCGTTTGAAAAGTTTTCCTACGATTGCTAGCGATCGAGCCTGATAAAAACTTCCTTCTTCCTCGTCGACTTGCTCTGCTATAATTTTCAAAGTCGATGAAAAACACGGGAACAAGTAGTATAGATAGTATGGTCGGTAAACGATCTAGAAGAACGCTTAAAAGTTGATCTTCACGGAACAGGCGGAAGTGGGTGCTTGTTTATCGCCCCAAGGGCTTCAAATGTTCTCTTACATCAGCCGGTTAATCTCATCCATATTCAAGAGGCACTCCGTTCTGCTGAATCGGATTTAGCCTAGCTGTCTCGATAAACACATTAAAAAGTCCTGATGCGGTGCAAACTTCGAAACACCAAACAGGAATATGTATAAAGCTGGATTTTATAAATGGAATAACAGTAGGACCCAAGTTTTACTTTACCGTCACGTGTCAGTAGAATTAATTAATCTTTCAAGCGACGTGATCTAAGAATACGAAACAATATCTCATACTTCATCTTCTTCTTACTAATTCGTTTGAAGAGCTGTGCCAAGCCTCTCGAGGATGCCGACTGTTTCCGGTTTCCTGTTGCATAGGCCTTGGCCACGCGTTCCGAGGATGCACCGTTCAGGGTCTCATCGAGACGAACAGCCGTCGCCGTTCGAGAGGGAACACTCGATCAAAGTGCCTCCTTCTCGTAACGTCTACGACCCGTCTTTTCTCTTCATCCCCAAGCCCATTCAAGCTCGATCACCTTCTTACATCGCGGTATAAACTAGTACATTAGAGGGGCGATGGTGAGCGCTAGGTCTATTAGATTTAAGATCAGGTTAGTTTAGACAAATTACTAGTCACTCTATCTTTTCCGCTTCTGTTTCCAGGTCTGATTGCACCGAGGTAACCATCGACGAGCCGAAACCCCTGACCCCGGTTCCAGTTAAGCAAAGAAACGAGGCGAATGATTTTAAAGAGCCTACGGAAATCGATAATAAGTAGGTAGGTAGGTAGGTAGAAGGTTGAATAACGAACAAGTGGTAAGCCGGTAGATTGCTAATTGAGCGAATTGTAAAAGAGGAAAACGTGCACCAGCTTCGAAGCGTTTTGTTTCAGCGATGGTTGTTCGATAAACAGAGAGAAATAGAGGGAAAGAAAAAAATAAGGTAACGGGGTTGTGTTTCACGAACAACCGGTTATTACGACATTTATTCTAATTTCTGTGCGCCTATTAATACTTGCCCCGCTCGTTATACCCGCAAGCAGCTTTATCGTCCACGGGCAAATATTTCCTTCCGGCAAACGAGCAATAAGTCGCGATAAGATTGGACATTGGCTTACGTTCTACGTTCGTCTAATAGGCTGATTTACGATCCAGTTAAACTACTTTCGAGCAATCCTCTAACAGAGACGAAGACGCGGAGATGAAGAACGAAAGACGGTTCAAGCTTTAGCTTGGATCCACAAGATTTATCGCTAAACATTAGAAAATTCGATTCGATGCATCATCCGCAGGATGGTAGAAAGCCTGGCTTGACAACGTGCATTGACTATGACTCGTGGAAGAAACATGGCGTTATATTTATCGGTCGGCATAATCGATAGTTGGTCTCTCGGGTAAACAGTGCTGCACAGGGGGTGTGACCGTTATTTCGGTGGAGAAACGTGGTTGCATGCTTGTACTTGAACCACTTTCCGCTTTCCGTTCAATTCTAAACGCGATTATAAATCGGCTTCGTGCGTCGGACAGAAGGAACGCGAGGAAGTTACCTTGAAAGAAAATTTTGTGAACCGACTAGAAATTTCTCTCTGACAACTCGTTCCTCGTACTATACCAAGGATCCGTCGAAAAAGTTACCGTTCCATTTCTAGGCTTTCCGAATTTTCTAATTTATTAATTCGGTTTCGGGTTGGGCTTGAGCATGAGTTAGGTAAGCAAACGTAAACTTACTTTTAATACTATTAATATCCTTAGGTAAGGAAAGTTAAATTTCATATTGTGAGAAGAACGTAGGTAACAGGCGAGCGCACGTGTGATGCCCGATGTTTAATGGACTTTTCTACTTAAGAAGCCAGTAAAGTGCTTCGAACCATCCCGAACATCTTTCCCCTTTCACGTGAAAGCTCTGATTTACCCTTGGACGCGAACGCTTGTGCTTCTTGATTCCGCGGAATGAAAGAGGTAAACAAGTGAAAAAAGAGAAGAGAAAAGAGAAAGAAAGAGAGGGAAAGGGAAGACATTGAAAAATAGAGTTTAACGCGTTCCATGCGTCAACGGGTCACTGGTTGGCACAACACAGCATGTCAAAGTAAATGAAAAATATTTTAATGAATTTAAAGGAAAACTAACTTAATACGTCTATGTTAATAAATTTATAACACGACTATGGTAAAAGTACATTCCATGAGGTTGTTATTGTCAAAGTTTTAATAAAGGAAAATTTGGCCGCGCTATATTGACCCGTCTAGAAGGGCCGACTAATGTTTAACCCTTTCCACTAGACGCGCGGCTGAACATTAATGGGCTATTCTACTAGCCGCGCCTTACTACCATGCCCGATTAAACACACGTTGGCTATTCCTATCCACACAAATTAGAATACTAAATGTACTTCTCTCTCTCGCCATACTTTCTGTTTACAAAAGTCTGAATGAGAGTGAATTTTCGCAATAAGAAAACGTCTTAAAGAAGAAAAAACACAGCGTGTTACGCAGCTGGCGATCGTGTTTACCGAGAGTAAGGTCAGTCAGGGCTGGCCGACTGCTTAATCTTGATTCACACGCGACAGAAGCCGGATCGGCTGGGTCAAGGTGCAGTTGCACGCACCTGCAGCTGCGCCTTGACCATTGTACTCGCACCTGTACACCTGTGACCGTGGTTGATTTCAAGTTTCATTATTTTCAAACGTTCCAACGAACAACAACACCCTCTAATCCTTCATCGACTCGAGAAATTTCTTCGAACTACCCACGATATTTGATCACACCGTTTCATTTGGTTTTTCTATTAAACCGAAAGATTTCGTTTTACGAGCAGAACCATTCTACGGATTATCACGACTAATTGTCGAGTCGACCTTCCATAGAGCGTGTAAGAAGTTTGAACGAGTCGAACTATCTCGATCGTTTCTTGGATAATCTTGACGGACACACGAGGGGGCGGTTAAACATGGCCATGGTTACCTAATATCTTTTGAAATTTATTATTTTTTATATCTATCGAAAGAAATAACCCTGCTTAAATTAATTATCCTCGG